CCAATTGATATCCCCCAACGGACAAGAGAAATCACTTAAACAGAAGTTGAGCACCTCGTATAGGAGAAAACTCAAGATAGCCACATACCGGAGCGAGCGCGCGGTAAATCAATAAACCAATAAAAAATCAAATTTTGGTTGTTCTTCAGGAAAGTCAAAGCTTTCCCTAAAGAAAGGCAAACTAGCCCTCAACCCCTCTCCACAACAGACGACAGCAGCAATAGCAAAACAGACATAATTTATAAATGTTAAATAACGGTACTTACTGGAGACCCATCTTTCTGTAAACCGTAGCGTAGCCCGTAGCACAACTTTAGCGCCCGAATTTAGATTTACAACTAACTCGAAAATGACACCTTATCGATCCAAATCGATTCAGGACTGTCAGCAAAAACCATTGACAGTATATTACATCATCTTACATTAAGATTTCATCTATTTTATTTTCTAAATTTACTATACTGAATTTATTCCCAATATTCAACTATTGTGCCCCAGCTTCTTCAATGGAGATTATTATGTATTCTAGGTCAATGTCCTTAAGTTTTTGTTGAAAAAATATTGTTTTTGTAAATAGGGCTGAATTATTCAATAAAAACGTGCTGTAATAACATTTGTTAAAAAAAAAAATATGTTCTATAACTCCAATTATGATTGCCTTCACACTGACAACTCTATTTCAGGTCGGACTGATTTTGGTATGGGCCAGCAACGAGAGACACGTAAACCTGCCTCAACATTCCGTGGAAATAATTTGGTCAGTTTGTTGTATGTCCATCAATATAGCCGTTTGCGTGCTTGGATGGTGGCGGTGTTTCGCTAATAATTATTTACACTGGGCCGCTGCGTGTACTTGGCTACTATTAACCATCCAAAGTAAGTACAATCAACTTTAAATTAATACGGCAATTAAAAACTTCCATCTTGTCATTTGCGCAATAAAGTTAAGACGTTTCCCAATTAAAAGTACCTTACCTGCCTATCGAAACTATACTTTGTTTGAAACTCCATTACACGCCAACTTACAGTGTGAAGTTTTGCTTTATTATTTCGGCAAGAGTTTAGTGAAGTTTTAGGAACTTTAAGTAACTAAAGCTAATTTAAAGAGGTGGAGGGGTCATTATCTACATTAACTTTATTACCTGAAGAAAGATTAGAAACTTTCTAAAATCCGCTTCTTCCGGAAAGTAAACAAACTTCAGTTCACTGACATCATGTTTTTTTTAGGTGAGCTGTAAGTTGTTTCCTGTTTTAAACAATTTATTAGTTTTGGTCAGGTAAACGATAGTTCAATGATTCCTGAAGGTAGAATCGATTTTGGCCGACTATAGAAGACTATGGTTGATAATCAAATCAAGGCACAAGGCAGGGACAGTATTCTCTCGCTGACATTATGAAAGTAATAGTGCATATAATGCTGATTCATACAAAGTAAATAATATCCAAAATTTATTGATTTTCTTTGTATCGCAATCTGATTTGACAATCATTTCCGATTTTTTAAATTTAATTTCTGTATCCATATTTCTATATTGTCATGTTAAACTTTCCTTTTTTTTCTTCCTTTAATAAATCTTGATGTTTTATCGTTGTTTTCGGAAAATTACTCAATTCTTTGCTCTTGTGGAAAAATAATGTAGATTTCAATATAAAATAGCTTAGTTACCCCGATTTTCTGGCAATGGGTGATGCCTTAGTTCTCTTGCAGCGTCTTCTTTTTCAGCAGGATCTGGGTTAAATTTCTTATTGTTTGCTTTTAAAAACCCTCTCCCGGATGCACCAGTTTTAAGTTAATCTGGATAAGCCACTTCTAGCTTCTCGAATTTTTATCATAATGCTCCGGTTGCGAATTAGCTAATTCGGTTTGACAATTTGGCGACTATGGTTATCACTACAGGAAGGAGTTTTCGTTCTGTAATAGAGACGCATTTTTTTTACTTTTTCAAATTTTGTTGGTGTGATTGTGCTACTTGATTTTATCATAAACAAATCACTCTTTGGTATGAATATACCTACTGAAGATAATGTAGATGAAGATTTTGTTAGAAATAGTTGACAATAAAGCACCGCCTCGTGGGGCTACACACATAGGTATATATAATATGGTTTATATCAATGTGATGTAAACTAAAGTTTACATTTATGTAGTTGAGTATGATATTATGCATCACGGTTAACTTAAATTTTATCTTATTGTGACTTGGAAAAAAATTAAGTATGTAGTTAGTTATGTAAATTTCTACCTTAAATGTATTTCTAGCTGTGTTTACTGTGTTCACAGTTCCAAAGTCATCAAAACATATAAGGTATAAGAAGTAGGTATATTTATCCTGACTGTTTTAGATCTATACACTATCACCAGGGAACGCATTACTCACTACTCTAAATAATTTCTTAGATAATAATAATTATTTTATACAAATTATCATTGTTTTACAATTTAGGTGTCGTCAGCAATGGAATAGGTTTTGGTCTCAAAGAAAGCCTCGTTTGGTACGTCCTCTTCATCGTGTTCGTTTGCTATGCCATGTTGCCGCTGCCTCTGCGTTGGTGCATTATGTCCGGTTGCATTTCAGCATTGAGCCACGTCATCTATGTGACGGTGAAGGTGTTCTACTATGGACATTATGAAGTAAGAATTAGCGGGCAATTATTATTGGTACCATTAGGTTTGTCTCTTATGAGAGAAGCATTTAGTAGCAAGTAGGTAATCGAAAAAGCAACAGTGTAATGCGAGATACGAAAATACCAAAGCAAATCATTTAATGAATGCCAAAAAAAAATTATTTTCTGGAGGAAATTTCAAAATTCAAAATTTATCACACCCAAACGGTTAGTTTCTTGGTTTTGCTTCATAAGACTTCGAAGAGATGTATAAAGTAATCAGAAAGAATTTATTTTCCTAAAACTGTAGATATTTCACTCCTTATTCTATTATTTGCTAGATTTACTGCACTAGGAGCACTAGGTGGGGGTGCTGCTGGTATAGCAAAAGCACTAAATGCCGTTAAAGCTGTCAATGTGGATGACACAATAAAAAAATTGAGACTTTAGTAGTTTATTGTTAATTTTTTTTAGCAAGATTGTTTCATATTTTCATTTTAACTTTCTTTAGTATAGAGTAGAGCGGGCTGTGAAGTTTTTTGATAGTTTGAAATTGCTCTAGGAACGATTTCTTTCTCTTCACTCTTGTCTTGTTATCGATTAAAAACGAAGCCCTCAATAATGTTGCTACATTGCTAATAGAGCCAGTGAAGTTGTTTATTTTGAATGTAATTGAATGTAATTTCCACATTTCTTACTGGTTTGAAGGTTCGAAAATGTCATTTTACTGTTGTTTACTTTAAAGTAGGCCGAAAGTGACAGTTTTCCTGTCACTTTCGGCCTGGAGAACTCACTTTCGGCCTGATAAATTGTTTTTCACACCTAAACACAAATCCAAGTGCAATGTTTGTATTGAGAAGTAGATGTCACATGTGTTTATATTGTTGAAATTTCATAAGATAACAATGATTATACAACTCACTGTACATTTTTCCCATATGACACGAGAGGCTTAACAAGTGATAAGCCTTTTGGGATTATCGCGCTTGGTGGCAATATTGTTCATTTGCTATTAATAATAATAAAAATTAATAAATTATTGAAATTTAGTTCGTTGTATAACCTTTTGAATACCATTCGATGTTTCAGGATTACCTAATACTTTAACCTGACACTCAACGCGTTTCGTGACAGGTAAATGTATTATTCGGTAATCCTGAAGCCTTTTGTGGTATTACATTCGATAACAATCTTGGTGTCAGAGCACAGCGTGTCAGTCGAAATTCTATTTTTGTCATATTTTTACGTTATTTTTTTTTCAATATTTAATGGTTCAAAATAAAATAGTATACATATTTCAGTGGAAAGTTTCCACATATATTGTCTCGAGAATTGTATATCTCGACAAAAATGAAACACTTTCCACCTCCGTATGTAATATACTATCATTTGATTTGGTATGCTGTCGCTCATATTGCAGTGACGAGAACTAATAATCTCGGAACCGGTATGCAATTAATGAAGTATCTAATGATTGAGAATCGGGCTCTCTCCATTGTCTTAAAGAGTAAAACGAAAAGTATTGTGTGGCAGTGACCAGAATCAATACAAACTCAAACTCCTTGTATAAGTTCTCGATATTGTGCTTAGACCTGCGGTTAAGGACTTGTGTTTAACCGAATAAAAACCTATTACAATTTTACTGGTTTTAAATTCCACCAGACTTCCAAAAAGTGTTTTAAAAAATTCCTAAAATTTAGGCACAGAAAAGCTAAATTTGCTTAGATATTAATGACTATGTGAATCGATAATATTGCCTCAAAGTAAATTAATTCATTAATTATTCTGACGCAAATATAAATATAATTCAGTTTTACATTATAAATAGTACAGAAAATTTGTCGAAAAACCAAACGCAAAATCGAAAAAACTTTCAAATATTGTTTTTGAAAACTCAAATATGTTGACGGCCCACAAAATTTATAATAATCCCATCTATAATGAATATTAATCTTTTAATTGCAGCAAAGCAAATTATGCTTCTGTGTCAACAGAACTCAAGTTTGACTATCCAATTTAGGGATAATAAAGAAATACACAATTCAGTTTCACGGTAAATATAAGTGGCAAACAAAAAATTGTCTTAGAACAAGGTGCAAAAAGCAATTCTCAACGACAATAATGGCTTTCCTTCGCGCCTGAATTTAATTCTGTAAAATTGTCGAGAATTGCTCTTGCGGGAAAATCAGAAAACGTTAGTTTTAATTAAGGAAAGGTCTGAAGCACACAAAATTTATTCTCAACGGCTGTCTCCGTCTTTGTTTGTCTTTTGTAGAGGATATCTTAGCGGATTTTCATTATAACTTTTTTTGTGCCAATTTAAAACATGTCTGGGGCATTTTTTTTAGTTTAAATTGAAGTGAAATATTGCAACTCATATATTGGTCGTTTATTAGTTAGACGAAGACGATGCTTGCAAAGTAAAGCGGATTGTGGCTAATATAATTCTGTACACGTGCGTGAATTTTGCTGGCATGTACACGAAATACCTGACGGATCGTAGCCAGAGAAAAGCCTTTCTGGAAACGCATCGATCCATGGAGATGCGGTACCGAACACAAGCTGAGAACGACAAACAGGAAAAACTACTCTTGTCAGGTAAAAATAAATTCATTCATAAAAAATAATAGGTAGTTTGGTTGTGATGCTGTTGCTCAAGACTTGGTGAACCAGTTTAGGTTTAATCCGCGCATGATGTCTAGCCTTACTACATGTATACAACTTTTGGAGAAAATTGAATCATGTACACCAAGTCGTTGATCCTGGGATTAACTAAACCTGGAGCGCTGGTCCATCTGTTTTTCAGCTCTACAAAAAGACTATTCAGTTTATGCGACCAATCAAAGTGAGCGCTTTCTCAGTAAGTTGGTGTAAAAGATTTGGCGCTAGTAACTCAGTTTAACGAAGATTCTTACATCAAGTTTGTTTTCTTTTTGTCTGGGCCTATCTCGTACTGCTTGGTTTTGCTGGGTCTATTCCTTTTAAAGAAATTACATTCACAAAGATGTTGACTTTTTTCTTGAAACAGGACACACTTATGCAGATTCAATTAAATTGACATTGGCCAAAACTTTCCTCAAATATGACTTAAGGGTTTTTCCTGGAAAAGGGTGTTTTTGAAAATCCCTTAAATAAAAATTAATATTTATTACGAGAACACAATGTAATTTGGAACTAATTCTGACAATTAATTGCCTACAATATTGCAAGGTATCTTGAACTTTCTCCCAAACAAGTAGGGTCTAAAGTACTTGGTGACCCAGATTATGGCTAACATTTCCTTTTCAATGGTGGAATATTTCAACTAGGATTCGTTGAGTGTCCTGGACGCGTATGCAATGGGTTTATCACTGCCGATTGGTCCTTGGGATAGTATAGCTCCAATTGCATAGTTGCTAGCATCAGTAGTTAGATTAAAAGACTTGCTGAAGTCTGGATATTGCAGAAGAGGTTGATTTGTCAGTAAATTGTTGCAAGTTCTAATGCAGTTCAAAAATTCTGGTGTCAGTTCTATTTGAGCGTCCTTTTTGAGGTAGGAAGTTAGAGGCTTAGTAATTTTTACGAAGTCTTTGATAAACTTCCTGTTATATCCAAGGAGGTTTAGAAATCCTCGGATTTCTTTCGTGATTCGCGGTATTGGAAAGTCAAGTTTTTTTTTTTTTTTTTTAACAACAATGTATTCCAGACCTCTAAACAGTTACAATAAACTGGCGCCGAGGCGAAAAAAAAACTAACAGATATAAATACATGATATTTTTCTAATTATGTTAACATAAATTTAAATTTAAATTTTATATTCTGTTTCTTCTCAAGTAGTCTTTGATGTTATGACCAATGTTCTGGATAGTACCCTCAAGTACCCTTTTTGGTATTGAATTTAAGTACTTGTATACATCTATATATTGGCGAGTTTTGTTTCTTCTTAGTTCTTGCATATGTATTTCATAGTTGTTTGTTATTTCTTGTGCTGTAGCTGTAATACTGTCCGTTTTCATTTAGTTCCACATTTGTTTTGTATCAAATAAATTAATTTTTATTGTTCTAGCATCTTAAGTTCACATATTTTTAGGTAAGGAAGTTTTTTGTATATTTCTTCACTAGGTATATGAAAGTCTAGCCCAAAAATCACCTTAAGTGCTTTATTTTGCATCTTTGCAGTTTATTCAGCTGCACAGCGCTTGTGTTTCCCCAACATGTTAGTAAGTATCTGAGGTGTGACTCTATGAAACTATTATATAGCAACTGCCTTGTTGTTTGGTTAAGTTGATGTGAGCATCTCTTTATTGCACCCAACATTGGTACAATCTTCCCATGTTTGTCATCAATCTCAATATGTTTGTCCCATGTCAGTTTTTCAGAGATAAGTAAACCTAGGTATTTATATTCACACACTTTTTCAAGAGCTAGTTCATTGATTTTTATGTTGGGGTTACATGGTGCTTTCCCTGTTTGCTTAATTACCATATAAACTGTTTTCTGAGCGTTTAAGGAAAGTTTGTTATAGCACAGCCATTAGAAATATTGGTTTAAGTCACTATTAACAAGTTCTTCAAGCTGCTTTTCACTATCACCTGAGTAAACCAATACAGTGTCATCAGCAAATTTAAAATACGCTGCTTTCAGGTTTGCATATTTCAAGCTATGTACATAGAGCAAATACAGTAGTGGCCCCAATACCAAGCCTTGGGCGATGCCGACGTTCAGATCAAGTTTTTCACTACTCTCATTATTTATTGTAGTACAGTGCTTCCTACCAGTCGAATAAGATTTTAGCAAGTTATAGCATACTCCACTAAATCCCATTTTATTCAATTTGTTCATCATCAGCTCTATATCAACTGTGTCGAATGCTTTTTGGAGATCAACAAATACTGTTATTACATATTTGTTTTTGTCTAATTCTTTGGTAATATATTCTAACATATCCACTACTGCCCCTTGTGTACTACTCTTGCTTTGGAATCCATATTGTTGATTATCAAACTTAAATTTTGTTTCAATAAATTTTACTATTCTTGTCTTAATGATTTTTTCCAATACTTTAGATAAGGTGCTGAGTAATGAAATAGGCCTGTAATTGTTCACGTCATCATGTGATCCTTTTTTGAATATTGGGATTATTTTAGCTTCTTTCAACTCTTCAGTCAGGGATTATTTCAGATTCAAGTCGCTTTCATTTCTTATTCTAATAGGTCTGTCAGTATCACTGACTTTAAGGTATATTTTACCATTGGCTACATACGCTGCACTCAAATTATTTGTTTTTTTGAACTCCCTGGCTTTTTTAAATAGATATTGGTTTTGTTTTGTGAGGTCATCATTAAAATAAATGTTTTTATTTTCTCCGGCTAATCCACATTCTCTTACTTTGATGCCTTTTAGAATTTTAACACTTTTTACAATTTTTTGTTTCACTTGTGTGTTTTTGAGTTTCACAAGTATAGGAGAGTCTTTCCTGGAGTTAACTGGGTATACCTTCAATATATCATCTTCATTGATTTCCACTTTCAATGCTTCAATCACTTTTTGTATTGTGTTTTGGGGTTGTTTCTTTTGGTCTGGAATCCCGGTGACTACCAAGTTTTTTTCTCTTTCTTTCTGCTCATTATTGCTGAGCTTGCTTTCTAATGTATCCAATCTTTGCTTTAGGCTGCAGTTTTCATCTTTTAACTGTTTTATTTCACCTAACATATCCTCAATTGCTTTTTTTTGGTCATCGAAAGCATCAGATATATACTGAACGGACTTCTTCAAATCCTTCATTTCCTCCTGGACAGTTTTTCGGAAAGTTTCAAAGTTAGCCTTAAACAGGCCTTCAATAATGTTTTTAATCTTCTTTTCGTCCATTCCCTGATGTTTTTCTACTTTTTTCTTAGTTGTAACCTCACTTCTAGCTTGCGAGATGCAACAGTTAACTTTGTTTTGTTTATTTGCGACTCCCGCATGTGCTGCACAACTAGGGTGATAACTTGTTGAACAATTTTCACAATCCACTGATGTAACAACTTTCTTTTTGCAATGTTTGCACTTTTTTTCGCTTTGTAAAAATTTATCATCTATAACCTCAAATTCAATTATGGTTTTAATTTAGGCCAGATTTGGTCTTATTCTTTATGGTGTTACAATATGTCTAAGAAAGGCAACTTCTTTTTTGACCATTTGAATTTTTAATCCAGTTTCTCTGAGACGTAGAAAGATTTTTGAAAGATAAACCAGATGCTCTTGGAGTGATGTGCTGAACACAATGATATCGTCTAGTACACAAAGCAATTTTCTCCTTGGAGGCCTTACAAAACGTTATCCATTACCCTCTGGAACGTAGCTGGAGCGTTTTTTAGGCCAAACGGTATCCGGACATACTCATAATGGCCATTTTCGACATTGAAAGCAGTTTTAAATACATCTTCGTTAGCCATTTCGATTTGGTGAAAGCCACTTGCCAGATCCAAGGTCATGAAGAATTGGCATCTACAAAGTTTATCCAAGATATCTGTTATGTTTGTAATAGGGTATCTATTTATCGTCGATAGTTTTCTCGTTTATTTTCCTATAGTCCCCTACCATTCACAACTATCCATATCGGGGAAGACCAAGATGACTGGCTTGGTCTGATAATTTCTTGATTCAAGAGGGAAGATATGGTTTTTCACTTCCTCTTTATGGATACGTGGATATCTATATGACTCGGTGTACACTGGAATCTCATCTTTTGTTTTAATATGGTGTTTGATCTGGTTTGTCTGCATACTTCCTACATACATTTTGTATTGCCTTTTCTTCCTCTGAATTTTAGGTGATTAGTTCTGATTTCAGGAATTTTACCATGCGCTGACGAAGATTCTTGAGAAATTAGATCCGTAGATATGAAACTGATCAAGGTCTTACTGCGTGCTAATGACTGGACTTTTCAGGGCTATCTGAAGTTATTCGTCGATTGTGTTGACATTAGTTGTATTCCTTTCAAGAGCTTGAAACACTCGAGCTACTCGTTCCGGTGTTTAGCCGCCCCCGATTTGCAGGGAACAGATGCGTGGTGCAACAAACACTTTTCGAAAGGAATAGGCGCGTGAAGCCCCGGAGCTGTTCCGGAGCTCCTCCCACGTGTGAAAGGAATATAACTAATTTCAGTTCAAGCGAGTTGATAACAAGCAGATGTGAGTGTTTCGTTAATTTTTGCGCCCTGGAGTTCTTGTTTTGGTAGAAGGAACGTACCTACTCTGGGTTTCTTTTACTGGAAGCCATACTCGGGAAACGGTGTTAGGCGGAATGGATCAAATAGAATTGGGTTTTGGTCGTTTCGTAGTATTCAATTGGGAGAGTGGTGTTTTTTGTGATAAGTAATGATTCTGGGCAGGTTCAATTTGGCTTGGAGTAGCTTGAGATTATCGAGTCCGATGAGACCATCAAATGTTTGGTGGAACTTGAAAAGGAAATTGGTTTGCTTTTGATGCCCTGGGTAAGAATGTGGTTCTGAAAGCATCAGTGTTGTTCCAGTAATAATTTAGTAGCAACGTCGTGGCGTTAATAAACTCGAAGAATTCATTAGGATTCCCGTTATATTCTGGAATGATGGCCAGGTTTATCATGTCGAAAGTTGGAGGATTGCCAGGCAGGAGGATCCTTAAGGACCCTTCCACTATACTACAGACTGGTGCCAATTAAAACCCTTCAATAAAAATTAATATTTATCATGAGAATACAATGTAATTTGGTATTACTTCTAACATTTAATTGCCTAGAATTTATATATAAAATATTGCTTAGCTCAGCAATCGAATTTGATGAAATTAGGTTGCTATATCGGGTTGTCGCTGCTGAGCCATGGGTTCAATGATATTCGATGGTATTCCGGATATTTACGACAGGATTTCGTCGAAATCTTTGCCAATCGCCATCAAGTCATTCAGGTATACGTACCAAGCATGTCTTCCAAGTGAGTCTTTGCAGAACTAATTCCTCTCTCTCTTTATCCTTTTTGTTGAGTTCCAACTGTCAAAATCTATCATCTAGATCTAAAGTTGAAAACCACTTGGAATCTGAACTGGAACCATATTTGTGGGTTATCTAAAGAACACAAATACTCTGTATCTTTTCTGTTTTTGATTGATTATATGAACTGCAATGCGGTCTTAACTAGCAAGGTCGAGCATGCTCATCAACTACATGCGAAGCATGTTGTTATAGTTAGTGAAATACTACTTCTCAATAAACTCTTTCTTGCTGAATATTAACAACAATTTTTTTCAGTCTTGCCAGATTTTGTGGCTAAAGAAATGATCAGAGACATAGAAAGAGAAGAAAGAGGCGGCCAGTTTCAACCGCATCAGTTTCACAAAATCTACATACATCGATACGAGAACGTCAGCATTTTGTTTGCCGATATCAAAGGATTTACTGGTAAGGGATACATGTTTTTTATTATCATATTATTTTCGCGAGTTGACGGACGTTGGACGTTGTAAGCTGAGCTCTAAAAACATTCTAATTTTTTTTTGCTTTTAGAGGTTATTTGAGCTGCATTTATATACCGGTTTTTTCTTTTACAGTTTTGTCTACTAAGTGCACCGCACAAGAGCTGGTGAAAATTTTAAACGAGCTTTTCGCTAGATTTGATAAGCTGGCAGCGGTAAGTGAACAACTGTGGAATTTAAAAGGATTTTTCCAAGATTAAAACGTGATTCTGTTTTTCATGACAAAATTATTAGTCTTGCTTCTTCTATGAAACGAAACTCTAAAATAAGTTAACAAAATAAGATTGGATACATGTAAAGTCACTAGAGATCAATATTTATTATCTATATTAATTTGTTGAATACACCAATAAATGAAAAAGTAATACTAGGCCAGCAGGCAAGTAATAAATAAAGGGGGTAGCTGGAAAGTATTTCGAAGTTATTCATATTTTGGCGTATCGTTTGTGGAGTAGAATCTAAGTTTTCGACCTCGATGACCCTGTGCTAACTTAGGGAGAAGTCGAAAGACCTAGAAATTTTCAACTTTTTCAGTTTTTTGCTCATAACTTCTAAACCATACGTTTTTAGTGGAATGCACTTATTTATAAGGTTGAAGAAAATTAAATTTCCTTCAAATTTGACTTGTGAGAAGTATTCTTTGTTGCAATACTAACCGAAATACAGTGGTTCAAAGATACAAAAAAAAATAAACACAACTTGTCAAAAATTTCTTCCCTTCCGAATATAATTCAAACAAAGCATGGAATAAACATCTTTTATCCTTGTCTCTTTCACGTGCACTCACAGACTACTGTGCCCCTGAAATATTTTTTTATTATATTGACTCGCCTATCTACTGACCATCCACCTTTCCTGGATACAAAAGAGCTATTCTCAATAGGCACAGGAGCTGTTGGAACTATTGATATCACCTGTAGTATGAAGACCTGTTTGGAAAGAGGGAATTTTCGAGACATGAAATTGAAGCGGAAAGATAAGTTGTTTCTCCAGCATCTGTTTCCTGTTGTGTGAAAGTTAAAGACAAAAAGTTGACAATAGACCCTCTCACTCTCTTTCAACGGATTCGCATAATAAAAAAATCAGATGATCATCTTAGAAAACTTGTTGAAATACGAGTTACTCCCCTTCCCGATGTCTCTCTTCACAAAGGAAGGAATGAACAATGGCATAAAGTCAATGTTGTATGCGGCATTCACTCCTATACAAGAACCAGTAGACTTCGGCCACAGCAAATGCGCAGTTATTGATGGTGTGTACCTGCTACATAAGGTTCTGTGGAGCAAATCAAAAGATATTACATTTGAATTGGTGTGCGTGGATTATGTTGAAAGACGCTTCGGGACTCGAGAGCCATGCTATAGTGGTTTTTGATGGGTATCCTGTTGGCATAACTTACCAAAGCACCAGAGCAGTAGAACGTAGAAGAATGACGATCTTTGCTGCACTCACAGTCAAAGTTTGTTTTCCAAACTTATAAGGCAAAACCCTGCATTTCCATGCTATTTTTGATTATCTGAGAAATTACTTGAACTTTTGAACCACTATATCTCAGTAACTATTGGATCGAATTTGAAGTTCTTCAGCTTTGTTGAGAAATTATAGACAAAAAACTGGAAAAGTCCGATAATTTCGAGGTACGAGACTTTATATCGTCTGTAGGTGCACGTGAAAGAGGATAAAATATGTTTATCCCACTTTGACGTTTAAAAATGACATTATTGAATGCATAATAACAAAGGTAAGTAGACGTTTATCACCTGAGTGACTTAAAATATTTTTAACTCACTCTCGGTCTTTTAAGTCACTCTGCCAGTATAAAAATCTCCTACAAATACAAACAAACAACCAGTTATACCCTAGCAACTACCAGTTTCAATATAAGATATTAGTGCTGGCTAAATGAATTATTTTTATAATTTGATTCCTATTAAGTAGGTATCCTATTTTTCAAATGTCCATCAAAATCGGATAAAATTTTGTATACATCATGTGAGTTAAAATGTTTATTCATTCGAAGAAAATTAACCCACTCGCTAGGGCTCGTGGGTTAAACTTTCTTCTCATGAATAAACATTCATTTAACTCACTTGGTGTATAAATAACTATTATCCCATGCTTGGTTTGAATTGTGGTCGGCCAGAAGAAATTTTTGACAAGTTGAGAATTTTTCTGTATGACTGTATTATCTCGGTTATTATTGCGTTAAATGGTATGCTTGGCTAGTGAAATTTGAAGGAAATTTGATGTTCTTCAATCTTCAACTACTACAACTCTAACTAAGTGTATTCCGCTAAAACGCATGCTTCAAAAAATATAAGCTAAAAACTGAAAAAGTCCAAAAATTTCGTGGTTTTTCGACTTTCCCCAAGCTAGCACAGGGTCCTCGAGGTCGAAAACTCAGATTTTACTCCACAGACTACCCACAAATGACATACGAAAATATCATTAATTTCGGAATTCTTTCAAGCAGAAAGTACTTGCCTGCTGGACATACCTACTTATTTGTGAACAACCATCATTCTTGGTAAATTAGGCCCTCATTCCTAAAAAGAGGACAGACCACAATAATTTCTAAGTCTTCACCTCACCAAGAATAATAATTGATTGGCAAAAAAAACTAAAACTAGAATTTTTATCTAAAAAGGAAAATCATTGTCTACGAATCAAGCTCCTGGGTGACTGTTACTATTGCGTCTCGGGATTGCCGGTACCCAGGACTGATCATGCGCATTGCTGCGTGGAAATGGGACTCCACATGATCAAAGCGATCAAGGATACCAGACATAAAACACAGGTTAGTAACCTAAATTCTGAGTTTTTTTTATTAATTTCCAAGGCGAGAAAGTAAAATGAAATAGAAATTAACTCAACAATTCTTTATTTCACAAAATTTTGTACATTCTTCTATAAGATCTTCAATAGATTCTTTTGCCCTAGTCATGAATACGTCGTTATCCTCATTATCTATAATTAAAACACTCCTATCTTCTCTAAATACTTTATAATACAATTCCTTATCGCTATAATATTTTTCTATTAATTCTCGTTTACTCAAAATCAAAGGAATAATTCCTGCTGCTGAAAGTATTGCAAACAACTTCTGCTCTTCGCAAGATTCTAAGAATTCCTGAAACGGTAATATTTTATCTAAATTGTAGCCAGAAATTTTGAGAATCTTTTCCAGATAATTATAATAAATCCCTAACAATTCGTACAAGTGATTTTTTCTGAAATCCCTAGAAGTTGTTGAAAAAATCAGAGAAAGGACATCATGAGAAGGTGGAACGTATCTGATACTTTGAAAATCAACAAATTTGCAACCATCTGGTTTAAGCATTAAATTTGACGCCCACAAATCGCCGTGGCATAAAACGTTTCTGAATTTCTTTGAAGGTTTCACTAAATCAAATATTTTTTTATAAAGTGTTTCTGCCGCACTGGACATTTTTTTCGGAAATTTGAAATAGTCGATTTCAAATAAAATGCAATTTAAAGTGCTTGCTATAGCGTTTTTATTAGCAAATTGTGCACCATCGCGATAAAGGCAATCTTGAAAGATTTTTTCATTGCCCTCAATAATTTTTTTATTTGACTTTTCTTCAAATATTAATGTACTCGCGTGAAATTGTGCTAGATGTCGTAGAATTACTAGAATATTTTCATAAGTTAAACATTCATATTTATTTGGCATGATGTATTCTCCAAGATTCTCTAAAATCAAATATTTATTCGGCTGTATTAAATAGCAATTAGCAACACAATTTCTAATGAGATTATGTTCATACGTCTCAAATAGTTTATAGGAAAATTCTTCTTTTTCAAACGCTCCGCTTGCGGAAGCAAATTCGGCTAATGCTTCTTGTACGGGAAAAGCCTTTACGAAGAAATTCAATAATGTTTCTTGGTTATTAACATTACTTTGTATTGATATAGTTAAAATATAATGATCTCCCAATAGGCCAGTTTTTTCTTCGACTGGGTTTAGTGCTTGCGATAGAATTGTAAAATTCCGATGTCCAATTTTGTGTTCTATGGCCAGTAGGACGTCTTCTTTGGATATTTGAGGCAGCATATTTCACCTGAAACAGAACAGAAATGGATGTTTTTTTTTACATAGTTCCCTAAGACAACATAAAGGTGATTATTTGCTTTAATTAATATGTCTATTTTTGAAAAAAAAGCAAACATATTTGACAAATTATAGAACCGAAACAAGGGCAACAGTTTGTCAAAAAACAATTTCATGAAAAGTTTCAAAGCATTATCCATTGAAACATGAAAGAAAATATAGCGTCCACCTCCACTGTTGGATAGTTGTTACAATATCGTTCAGTTATAGAAATATTGCCCTGTGTGAGAAATCAAAAACTGAAATACAAGCTAGGGTCTGCAACAATAATACGGTAGGAGGCTCTATGACGTAAGACCAAGTTCGTATGACGTTAAAGGCCTCAGTCTATGTCATGGATTAAGTGCGGTTAGTTGAATACTCAAGTCATCTGGAGTAGTAAAAAAATTATTTAAATAGCTGAACAGTGACATCTATAAGGGTCTATTGCACAGGTTCCCCTTCCTGTGTATAGATATTTACATTTACATAGTTAATCGAAGGAATGTGAAAAATTCTTGGGTATTATTATATTCTAGGAACTCTGTAAAGTTTATTAATCATATCAGTATAATTGGAAATGCTTACAAACAAGAAAATTAAACTACATACTTGTTTCTAGCGATAGAATGCAAACTAGAGAGGTGTAAAAATTTAGAGGACACTATTATACTTTTAATGATAAAATTGACAACTATATAGATAATATTACACACTAAAATAATCAGGTTATGTTCCATTTGGCTTTTTGAAATCTATTCGTATCAGGTTTCCCTGCCTGGTCGAATAGTGATGATACGAGTCATTGTTCTGATATTTACCTAAATTGTAAACAAACACCAGCCTTCCTATTGGTTGAAACGCCCTACCTGGACCGGTGCACATGCACGGAGACATTTGATAGGTTGTAATGAAAATTACCAGTTTGTCATTTACTGCCGCTTGGATTTGGTTCAACAATGGATTCTTGTGACTGTACAAAAGGCATTCATGGATGTATCGACTGGGAACAGTCATCTCATCACACCCATCCGCTGAAATATACCTCTCAAATCGTCCATGTAGCTCAGGCCCGTAATCACCCTGACTGCTCTTCTTTGCAAGCAAAAAATACGCGATGAGTGTGGTGAGTGTTTCCACACCAAGATAGCATAAAAAGCCACCGACTGAAAAATACCATGGAATGTCTGGAGAAGGGTCACTTGTCTTCTGACAAGGTTTCTGATGAAAAAGATGTTTCTGAACAAGCGAATGGAATTCGGGTTCACGTGTCGTTTTAACCTCAAAGTTGGATCAAGGTATACTCCAAACAACTTTACTTCCTCCACGTTCTCTTCAATCTCTCTCAGTCTAAAAAGAATGCGCACAGTGTTTCTCTGACGTTTAATGCCAGTTTATTAGGAAAAAAAACAGTCTTTTAGGTTATTCATACTGCGGTTCATCTGTTGTATCAGATCGCCAACCTCCACTACTGCCTCTAGAATAGAAGTATCATCTGCAAAAAACATTAGGTACTCTGGAAAGAGGTATGGAGCGTTTCACGTCGTTGATGTAGGTTAGAAACAGAAGCTGATGTCCCAGTATTGAGCCTTGGGGCACTCCAAACGGCTTTGCTTCCTCATTAGATGGTTTTTCCTTGTATGATGGTATTTGGGTACCGTCTTCCAAGTGGTGCTTCAAGAGACAGACACTGTGGTCATTGACACCGTAAGCCTTAAGCTTGTCCAGAAGAATACAATGTGTGACACAGTCAAATGCCTTTGAGAGGTCACAGCATGTAGCATGTGACACATACATACTGCCCCCTCTCAAATGCTTTCGCTATACATCTCAGTAGCTCCTGAACAGTTGAATTATCGGTCCCAAAGCCAAATTGGTATTCAAAAAACAATCTTGAAGTCTCAAAGTATGAATGAAGTTAGTGTTTGAGTAAGCACCCAAATATCTTGGATATCACCGGGACAAGTGAAATAATTAGGTAGTTTTTTACAGCATCCACATCACCTTTCTTAGATACAGGAACTTCTCTTGACTTCTTCAAAACATATGGAAAAATACCAGTTCTTATGCAGCTGTTCATAACGTTAGTTAAAGACCTCAGCAATGCGGAGTTCATGCCATAAATATCTTGGCTTGTTTTGTTTTTCAAGGAGTCTATTGCTTCTCGGACTTGAATAAAACCAACCTCGGCTAATTCAATAGCATTAGGTTGACAATCAATTTTCACAAGGTAATCTTTGTGTGTCATATATTTTGGTGAGATACGGTTTAAGCATTCCTCCACTATGCCTGAAAACAAGTTGTAAGTACTGGGTTGCCAGTGATTCTGTTTGTGCTAAATTTATTTTGCCACCCTTGACAATATCCCGAAAGGCTCTGACAATATTATACTGAATTTCTCGATATAATTGCAGTATGCTCTGCGCTTTCTGACTCGCAATGATGCTCAGTAAAACCTCTTGAAATCTTTCATGCATACTCTCAGATCTTGTGATGGTCTACAACAACATAATTCTGTGAGAATTCTAAAAGTTTAGCGCTGTTGCTGAAGGAAGGTCATTATCATACCACTCCGGTGCTTGTCATCTTACGATCTCCTAATGGAAAGCAAAGGTTTATACCAGCCCCAAGCACTTCCATAACTTCGCAAATCCACTGCTGATGTTAGGATCCACTTCATCCATCATGGGTTCAACTCTGTGAAGACCAAGAAGCCATACAGAACATTCGTTCGTATTGCCGTTATTGACCTATCACTGCAGTAGCGGTTCGCCCATATGGGCAAGGTGGGCACCGCCACCCTGGAGAGAAAATGGAAAAATAAGAAATACCTTTAATCAAAGATAATCCTACTTCGGAGTAGGATTATCTTTGCTTTAATACAATATTTGAAAACGCCGCGACCTTGAAAATCTAAAAAAAATTGCCCATGGCTGTTTTTTATTTTTGTCGCCCACCCTTACTTGGACACCACGAGCCGCCACTGCCTATCAGCCTTATTATCTGATAGTAGGGGGGTCAAAGACATCAATGCTAAAAGTGAGTAAACTCTCAAAATTAATTAAAACTATATTAATACTGAGTTTGTTTTTTCATAGACCTGTTGGGATAAGTTTAAACTACTTTATAAGATCAATAAAGTCTTAGATTTTATAGTGTTTACACAAGTTTTAATGAAGCATCGATTCCATGGTGCCCAGAGATGTCAGAAAAAAGTATTTCAGTTACTTTTTAAAAGGAGCTGTAACTTGTATCTTAAAATAGTATCTTAGATACCGAAAAGTACTTAGATATAAGAAAGTATCTCAGATACTTAGGTAAAAGCATCCTAGATACTGAGAAGTATCTTAGATACTGAAAAAAGTATTTAAGTTATTAAAATTGCCGTAAAATAAGTTACTTGAGACGTTTACCTAAACCCGACTCAACAAGATAAAACTGGTTCAAATAGTAGGTAATAGGTAGATGGTAGGTCTGTTCTCACAAGAGTCTCTGACAGTTTGCAAACTGTCAGTAGGCATCGCCCATACATGTTTCCAATGGTGTCATTGCCGTCGTTCCAAGATAAATCGGTAATTTAGCTGACAGATTATTTCTGACAGGTTGCAAACTGTCAGATACTCCTGTGAGAACACACCTAAAGTCCATCGATTTTAATCTGATACTCCAAAGGAATGTGAGCTGGTGGCTCCCTAAGTTAGCATGCCAATAGTTACCTGACCTCACACCGGTTTTTGCCATAAGTTTCACCCCCTCGCTCCTCATACGGAAAGTGTCAGATTAAAAACGACAATGGTGGGATTTCTGCGAGTATATTAAGATATATTTGGCCAGTGAAGCTGAAGTACTGTACAAGAAAAGTCATGCTAATATCCTGTTAATTTCGAATTTGTAGAAAACAATGATCATGTGGGGCAATCCACCGATATAAGAAGCTGTATTGATTTGGAGATCTACAATATACTCAAGAAGAATTGAACCGTCTCAAATTTGGAATATCTAAACTATAAAAAATCTTGTTTTTGAAATTGAACCTGTGGACCAAATAAACAGCAAGAGCTCAATCGGTTTTTCCGCCTGCTATTTGGAAATAATAATAAAGTATCTCAATGAGTATCTTATTAAGTATCCCAAAAAGTAACTTAAGATACGTATTTGAGATCCTTTTTTTAATGAGCAACTAAATACCCAAATTAACTTCAAATACTTTTTCTTAAAGTAACTTATCTTGTAATTAGATACTTTTTAAAAGTATCTTTGACAGCTCTGATGGTGTCAATATTATCTCCATTTGGGGCTCAAATCAATTCATCAAAATATTCCCCTGAAGCTAATCCATTTCAATTAGGTACCTACTTTTCAGGACAGACGGATCAATAGATTTAAAAATTCTAATAAATCAACAATACGCCAGTGTCGCCAGTGCGAAAGTTTGGAATTTCCAGATTTCATAAATTCCAGTTAATTAGAATAATAATGATAATTACTTTTGATTAGTTTGTTTATCCACAATGATTTTCCACTTTTAAATTAAATAAACCTCAATCACAGTCCAGCAAATATTTATGCAAAGACCTATTATGTTATTACATGAGAAAAATATAATTATGATAAAAGAAATGTCTCTTGAATGTCATGATATTACGAGCAATTTTCGAATAATTATCTTTTTAAATACCAGGGATATTTATTGTTGACCTTTGGATTACAATCATTGATCATGTGTTTTTTTGTATTCTTTTTGCATATACCATTTAATTGTTCAAATGGAAATATCCATGAAAAAATGTTTTACTCATGAATTAATACTTGGACCAACTCAACTAGTTTCATTGCAGATCAAACTACACACGTTCCGGTGTTCTTGCACCTCGTCAGTGCAAGGTGTAGTTTGTACAATTTCGTGGTAGTGGTCCACCTAAAGATAATGCGGTCAATTATTTTCAATTAACGCCTGACAGCTACTTTTGTTTATCTTATTTACTTACTGTACATAAATTCTAGTTCTGAATTTTTTAAATGCCTCCGATTGAAGGTCAGGTTGGGTACCTACCTGTTAATTGTTGTGTATGATAATGATTTTGGTTAAACCATACACTTGTGTTTTTTTTAAAATACACAATTGTCTGAGTATTGCTTCGTCATACAAACATAACATCTATTACATACATTTCAAACAAGAGTAACATTAGTTGAATTTGAAAAAAAGGACAGTATAGTACCTATCTATAGAGTAAAGTGTACATTTCAAGATTTTTATTTCCAACACCTTGGCGACCAAATAAAGCAAAAATTTCTATACAAAAACAGGTAAATTTTATTCATCAACGTTCTCAATCAATTCAATAAAATCCCTAGCAAATCCTGTACCAAAAGTTCTAAAATGCTCATCCTTCCATGCCAAATCAACCAAGTTCTCCCTCTGGCTATCCAAATGGTCTCCAGCCTCTTCCGCGTGGATTATTTGATCTCGCAACTGTGGATCCATATGTATCGGATGATAAACCATTGCTACAGCCATTGCAGCTGCTTTGGCTTCTGTTACATTCTTATTAAAATCGGTTCTGGACAACAATTCTTCTGGGTTAAGGTTGAAGTTTTTTAAATGTTTCGATAAATTTCCATAGTAGTAATCTAGTAAGGTTTGTAAATGTTTGTCTCTTGTTTCTTTGGTAGTACTTGAAAAGATAAAGAATAATATTTCATAAGCTGGAGGTAAATAGCGTAATATTTGATAATCCAATAAAATTACGTCTTGTAAATCACTATTTATCATCATGTTGCAAATATACATATCTCCATGATTGACAACGTTTCTTAGGGTTGTTGATTTTTTTAAATGGTCGAAAGTGTTTTGCCAAATATTAGTTAACTTTTCTTCAATATTTTTATTGGATTTTTGAAGCTGCTTTATAAAATATTTTGTTGCTAATAAGCCACCCATAAACCAAGCATATAATTCTCCTCGGGGCAAAATAATATTTTCTTCAAAATATTCTGGATATTCATCATAAATCCTATAAGGCTTTCCTTGTTTTTCAGATAAAATTTCTTCTAAAATCAACGAACAAACATGAAACTCGGCCATTTTGTCCAAGACCAGTTTCAACTGCTCAACATTTAAAAAAGTAGCGCTTTTTAAAGTAGAGTATTTTATGTTTTCCAAAACTATGAGACCCTTGGTTGTGGCTAAGTAGCATTTAGGAGCAAAATCTAGTAGCTCCCTAAGACCATATTCTTCGTATAATGGGTATAGAGTGTTATAGAAGAAACTTTCTTTTTTAGCTGCACCTCCTTCTGCAACTTCTTGTACCAATTCTGAGTCACTGAATAGTGATTTAATAAATAATGTGTCCTCTTGGATCTTATTGTCAATTGACGTTTTAAGTTTCAGGTGATAGTATTTAGACATGTGGCCAAATTTTTCATTTAATGTCACTAAATCAAAATTAATTAACTCAATATCATTTGTTTGGTATTTCTTTCTGATTATTTGGTAAATATTTTCTTGGTGTATGAAAGGATTTTTCAAATAGTTTAATAGATTTTGTGCTATTTCATCGTTGTCAATTAGTTGGAGCTTCACTAAGGGCAAAATAACGTTTTGGTGCTGTTCAAAGAGACTCTTGGAGGCTCCAAAATGCTTGTAATAATCTGTAATTAATTCTTCAAAATGTTTTTGCCTGAATTTTTCATCGCTGTTTGAGAAAATTAGTAAAACTGCTTCATAAGCTGAAGAAAACAGAGCATCTCCACTTTTTAAACATTTCTCAAAATTGCTTCCTAGCTGATTCAAAACTTCTTTGAATTCAATGGATTTGAAGTGCTGTTTTAACACACATTTTTTGATAAGGTTTTCTAAAAAGAACTCACTAGAAACTTCACTTGTAATGTCCGATTGAGTCTGTGCTAATTTTTTTAAACATACTTCTAGCTTGTTGAAGTCATTTTTTATCACAAGTTCTTCCATGTTTGTAGAATATCTACCAACACTCAAAAGCTTACTGATACAACTATTGAATAAAAGACTGCTGTTTATAATAATAAAGTTATCTAAAAATAGTATTAGCCGCACAATTTGCATCAATATTTGTTCCTGCTTATTAAAAATAAATGATAAATAGCGTGCATTTTTGCAATATGAAGCATTATTTTCAAGAAATTACTTGTCCATGTAATTAAGATTCCGAAAAACTACATCTCATGGACGTTTGAAAATTTTGAGACTTACATTCCATGATAATACGGTTCCCATAAAGATAAAAAGGTATAATATTTTGACTAATCTGGCTCACAAATACAGTGTGTTAAAAACAAGTTTAATTTTTGTTCCGTTATGAGTAATGATGATATTGTCAACTAGCTACTTAGGAAAGGAGGACCCGGTATTCAACCTTATTAATTTAATTGCTGATTCGATCGGATGTTTATTGCAATTCAGCAATAAATTGATATAAATAGTGGGCCAAGCCAAGCAACAGGTAGACTTGAACCAGTGCAAGTACCGCCACCCTGGGAAAGCCCCTCTGGGAAACTGTATCGTCATCTAGTGCAAGTACCGCCACCCTGGGAAAGCCTCTCTAGATGAGGATCAGTTAAACGACGATTAACATTCTACGTAGCATTAGCATCAAACAGACATTCTTTCCTAAGTTGCGTCAGACGTGTGGCCCTTCTCACGGAAGAGCATGTATCCTGGAGGATTCACGTAATAACTTCTTAGCAAATATACACCTTTTTATATAAAAACAGAGCGAGTTTCTCTCCATCTATCCACCCTACACCCCCGTCACAGAGAAGCTGTGATAATATTTTACTCATATTTGATACACATAATAAGGGACGCATTTTGCTCTGTGTTTATTTTAAAGTATAGTAGTGTCATTTTAGTCTGTGTTCAAAAAGACGAAAGAGATATGCCTTACTACGCTACATTTGATTATATTTTTAAGACTGAATGACAAAATTTAAAAAAAAGTAAAGAAGTATAAAGTAAGGTGTACATTTTGGAGATCTTCATTTCCATTGCTATGTTTTTTTTCTGTTAAACCACACCGCTTCAATCAATAAAACAAAGATTTCGATAAATCAAATACATTTTATTCATCAACATTCTCAATCAATTCAATAAAATCCTTAGCAAATCCTGTACCAAAAGTTCTAAAATGCTCATCTTTCCATGCCAAATCAACCAACTTCTCTCTCTGGCTATCTAAATGAACTCCAGCCTCTTCCGCGTGGATTATTTGATCTCGCAACTGTGGATCCATATGTATCGGATGATAAACCATTGCTACAGCCATTGCAGCTGCTTTGGCTTCTGTTACATTCCTAAGAAAATCGGTTCTGGGCAACAATTCTTCTGGGTTTAGGTTGAACTTTTTTAAATTTTCCGATAAATTTCCATAGTAATAATCTAGTAAGGTTTGTAAATATTTGTCTCTTGTTTCTTTGGTAGTACTTGAAAAGATAAAGAATAATATTTCAAAAGCTGGAGGTAAATACCGTAATAATTGGAAATCGAATAAAATGACGTCTTGTAAATCACTATTTAGCATCATGTTGCAAATATACATATCTCCATGATTGACAACATTTCTTAGGGTTGTCGATTTTTTTAATTGGTCGTAAGTTTTTTGCCAAATATTGTTCAACTTTTCTTCGATATTTTTATTGGATTTTTGAAGCTGCTTTATGAAATATTTCGTTGCTAATAAGCCACCCATAACCCAGCCATATAATTCTCCTTGGGGCACAATAATATTTTCTTGAAAATATTCTGGATATTCATCATAAATCCTATAAGGCTTTCCTAGTTTTTCAGATAAAAGCTCTTCCAAAATCAACGAACAAACATGAAACTTGGCTATTTTGTCTAAAACCAGTTTCAACTGTTCAACATTCAAAAAAGTATCACTTTTTAAAGTAGAGTATTTTATATTTTCCAAAACTATGAGGCCCTTGGCTGTGGCTAAGTAGCACTTAGGAGCAAAATCTAGTAGCTCTCTAAGACCATATTCTTCGTATAATGGGTACAGAGTGTTATAGAAGAAACTTTCTTTTTTAGCTGCGCCTGCTTCTGCAATTTGTTTTACCAATTCTGAGTCACTGAACAGTAATTTAATAAATAATGTGTCCTCTTGGATTTTATTGTTAATTGACGTTCTTATTTTCAGGTGATAGTATTTAGACATGTGGCCAAATTTCTCATTTATTGTCACTAAATCAAAATTAATTAACTCAATATCATTTGTTTGGAATTTCTTTTTGATTATTTGGTAAATATTTTCTTGGTGTATGAAAGGATTTTTCAAATAATTTAATAGATTTTGTGCTATTTCATCGTTGTCAATTAGTTGTAGTTTCACTAAGGGCAAAATAACGTTTTTGTGCTGTTCAATGAGATTTTTTGGGGCTTCAAAATGCTTGTAATAATCTGTAATTAATTCTTCAAAATGATTTTGCCTGAATTTTTCATTACTGCTTGAGAAAATTAGTAAAAATGCCTCATAGGCTGAGAAAAATAGGGAGTCTCCATTTCTTAAAAGTTCTTCAAAATCGCTTTTTAGATGATCCAGAACTTCTTTGAATTTAATGGATTTAAACAGCTCCTTTAACACACATTTTTCGGTGAGGTTTTCTAAAAAGTACTTACTAGAAACTTCACTTGTAATGTTGTTCGGTTGATTTTCTGCTATTTTTTTTAAACATACTTTTATTTTGTTAAAGTCATTTTTCATCACAATTTGTTTCATTTTTGCAAAATATCTATTAAAATTCAAAAGCTTACTGATAAAACTAATGAATTAGGAAGGCTTTTATTATAATAAAGTCATATAAAAATACTGCTAGCCGTCATAGTTTGTTCTCGCTTATTTAAGTACCTAATTAAATGATAAATATATAGCGTGAAGTTATGCAATATGAAGCATTTTTTCGAGAAATAAGAAATTGCTCAATCATGGTAATTAAGATTCCGAGAAGCCAGATTTCATGCACGTGTGGAACATTTAACGTTTAAATTTTATATTAATACAATAAGAAGGCAAGTTATCAGGAAATAATTTTTCAAGTCTCTCCTTGCAAATAGGAGTTCGTAATTATTTCCAAAGCATTCATAATATATTCTGTTTCAAATCCCATTAGTTAGGTACTTGTCAATAAAATCAATCAAAGTGAGTCATTAAATTTAGGTAAATGACAGCATAGTGCTGCAATGGCGGATAATTAAATAATATCACTATTCCAGAGTTTCAATTCTCAATAAATACAATATTAAATAGTCAATTATCATTAAAGAGAAAAATACCAGCTGAACCAATGACATATTAACACAGATAGTCATTACAGTAAACAAAATTTTGTGTCGCCAACATCTAAAAGATTTATCCACCTCCGGTGTATCTCCTCTAATCAGGTTGACAAATTTTCACGGATTGATATTTGTGACGGAACTAGCTATTGCCCCTTTTTGGGCTTTAGTTAAACTGCACCAGGGGTGCCAAAAGTTTTTACTTTGACTGACTGTAAAAATTAACCATTAGGTGTTGGATCATTTAAGCCTTGTATTGGGTTAGGGGTGCCTTGATTCCCATTTATACAAATAAAACGCTGTAATAGAATAATTATCAATTTAATTATTAAATTAAAGTAATTCGGAATAGTCAGCAATCAAATCCTATCTAAAAATTCCTAATTGGACGTTCAGTCGAACTACAAATTTTATACTAATTTAAAATAAGTTTTCTAAAGTAAAGTATCTTGATTCTGCAATCGCAAAATGTTTATTGATCCTTGAAAGTTCTTTTATTTATTGAGAGTTAACAATTAGAGCACTTCTCTGCTGAAGTCTGTAAACATTGTGCAAGAAAAGTCTTTATAGAGGTATATGCTCAGTTTCTATATACAAATGTACAAATGTTAATTGCACTAATGTGAAAACCAAATTTCTGCATTAAAGGTTAGAAAACACTTCAATTTATAGTGCATTTCAAGCGAATCACTAATCAGTATTTGTTAACTTATTGAATATTATTCGACTGTTAGAGGAATTGTAACGGTCTTACTTGCTTAATCCAGTCCATACAGATAAATCCATAAGGCGATTATTTATCCATTTATCACTATTCGCACTGACAGCTAAGGAATTTTCCACTGAGAATTGAGATGAAAAGAAAACACAAGGATATACAGATGCTTCGGAACCCGGCGAGAGTGAGAGAGATAACCAAAAACAGGTGTAGGAGAGAATTTTGCTCGTCCGAGGTGACTTGTAACAATTAGGGGTTAATTACATGAATTGTAATCAATTATATAGATCATGTCAGGCCTTGTGACACTGGGAGTAGTATTTTACTATAAATCGTGCATACTAACGGGGGTTTTTGGGGGTTTTTTGCCTCTGGAGAGCATTCAGAGGACGCGAGGGTGCGAACTCTTCGCTTAATCTAAAAGTACTGCCGAATGTGCGTCGACTAGCTCTGCCGGAGCAGGTCGCAAAAATCTAGAAAACAATGTGGCGGCTGACCAATCACAGCAACGAAATAGCTCCACTGCTTCATAAGATAATGAAGAAACCTGTAATTTTACCGGTTCAAAGGGTTGTTGTTGCCGGTTTTACAGGCATCTATTTTTAGAATATTATTTTTATGAGAAATAATAGAGAGGAAAATTATAGTAACTTAGAAATAACAAAATTTAAACTTGTTGTGGATTATTTCCGCAACAATATTTGATCCTGTTATTACTTTGCTTCAAAAAATTGGAGTTTCAACGACTACTGACAACGTCGGTTTTGTGAAACAGGCGGAATACGCGCTGCAATCGATTGGTATGTGAACGCGCTCATCGAACGCATATTATATGAGTTAGAGGCAGATAGGTAGATAAACGAGTTGCACCCGTGCGCATTTGTTGTGGGAGGGCCGGTCTTGTTTACACCTCTGATGCATCCCCACCATAACCCCCCTCGAGCAGCTCACTTCTCCTGTTCCTGGGGGGTCTTGTCATCACACCAAACAAACAAACACAGTTTATGAATGAGATGCGTGTCTATCTGTTAAAATGTCATTGCGCTGAATATATTATTTGAACTTAGTTACCAGAAAAAAACTCAAAATGCATCTAAACTATGGTTTATTCAAAAATATCGCACTAGTGAGACCATCCAAAAATCTCAATGCAAAGGGGCATTTTAGATAACATTTTATTAATACGTTTACCGAGTATTTCGTCCCCTCTGAATCCAAGAGTAGGGGCTCACGTTTAAGAAGAATAAGATGTTGTTTGTCCTTTTCCAATGCCGGAAAAATACGGCATTAGGAACTCTTTCCGACAACTGCCTCTGTTTAGATTTTGTCAAAACTGCTCAATGGTTGAAGCATACCAGAAAGAAGATTCTAGCTATGATAAGGTCAAAACGATTACCAGGAAAAAAAATCTTTCGAAATTCAGAGTCAAAAGTGACATACGTAGACCTTATGGACATAAAAACATCGATTGTAGATTTAGGGACAATCAGAATAGAGATCAGAATCGAGAAAATACGAAAACACCTCCTGCAGCAGTAGATAAATATTTCTTGTGCTGTCTACAAGTGAGTCATCTGTTCATTGCAGAGTTTTCAACTGTAATAGTGCGGTGTAACTGGACCCGTGACCCTGGTAGTCTCTGAATAGAATAGAGAATAGAAATAGTCTGGAGAAATGCTGTTACCAAGAGAGGCAGGTGACTTGATTAGAAAGACAAAAGCAGATGTAATAGGAATTAAAATCAAGTTTTCGGATGGACTTTATGCCTATAAGAAATAAATCTCGTTTGTTGCAAAACAGATTCAAATGTAAGCAGGTAAGCTGCATGTTTCAAGAAAATCAAGTTCATTCTGCAGTCGTTTCGAATAAAGTTTGACATTTTGGACACTTAGCAATAAAAACCTTGAAAATTTGGATAAGAGGTAAAACTTGTATGTACATCGGCGAAATCTGGGAAACATTGAAGCTTACATAAATGACGAACAAATACAGGTTACCACACAACCACTAGAAAGCAAAGAGGCCAGCAGAACTGATACACAGTGATGAATTTGGGCTGATGAATCCAGCCTGCTTTGATAGAAAAAGTAGTGATCAGCAAATGCAAGACCAATACCAAGACCGGGCTAGTCTTGGTCTTGGTCTTGGTCTTGCATATGCGGTCTTGGTCTTGCAGTCTGATAAGTGGTCTTGGTCTTGGTCTTGGTCTTGCAGGGTCCAGTCTTGGTCTTGGTCTTGGTCTTGCAGCAAGACTCTTGCAAGTCTTACATTTATTTTTTAGATTTTTAGTGGAGGGAATTTTTACAAAGAAAATTTTTAAAAAAATCGTATTTCATACCACTTGAAGTAAGTAAACGTTTAAAGAAAGGGAGAGTATATGCCAGTATCAAAATTTTAATTTTTCAATATTGAGTACCTAAATCAGGCAATTTTTTCAAGTAAAAAATGCTCAAAAAAACATTGGAAGTTAAGGGATCACTTGTTTGAGTTTGTCCCTGTAACATTGAAAGATTTATTTGTATTTACCAGTGGCGTACTCAGAGAATATGTTTGGGGGGCCTCTACATATATATAGGTTGAGGATTGTGTCTAAAAATCTAACCAAAAAATTGAGGTATCAGGGTGCCACGCCCTGATGTTGCCACATTTTTTTATACGTGAAAATACAGTTTTGGATAGCGGCCTGATGGCCCCCCTGGGTGCACTACTGGTATTCACAATGGACCTTTTTCACGTGCCGGGAATATGGCATATTATAATATTTTTTGACGCAGATACATGAATGCAACTAAGAATGAACAATGTTCTGCAAGATTTTAGTCAGATTATTAAATAAATTGATAAATACAAATGAAAAATTCAAACAAAAAATCACGTGACCTAAAACGCCCCCTCATTGGTTGAAGCCGATCTTCATGATTTTGTTGCCGCATTTAAAAATACGGAATTTAAATGAGTTCAAAGATTATACCTGTCCTTAATTTTTTTATGACGTCGTGAAGGACGAAAATAGACTCTAGGTGAGGATAAGTTGTGTAATGATGTACTAATGAGAAATTTGGCATCCTCGCATTTTTACTGATTTTCTGGTTTGTGACGTCACACACCGGTCCAACGTTTTTTTTTTTTTTTTTTTGGGGAAAAATAAAAGGATAGTATTTATTAGAATGACATGTCAGACGTCCTCAAAGTTCTTATTTTATGGCATTTTCTTCGGTGTCCTGTCAAAATATATTTTTGCAGGTATTTGACAAATATTAAAATAAGAACTTTGAGGACGTCTGATCCCCTTTTTGCAACGAACTAGACGTCTGACGATTTACATACGTTATCTGTGACCTTCAAACAGATAATGTGCAAAATTTCTATAAATTTTGAGCTTGGAGAAAACAGTTTAGATGCTTCTTAAAATTACAACTTTGCCCGCGTCCCAGAGCCAGCTGTCCCGGAACTGTGAGCGCTGACTGTACACTAGCATTCTAGCACTAAAGTACGACCTATTTTGAAAATATCCGCCTTGCGAAAACTCTTGCATGTTTTTGACGCCAGCTCCCCAACTATAAGGTATGATATTTTCAACTACAAATAGCTAAATCAAATACATACTAAATTTTAGTACTCTTCAGAAAAAAATGGAACAAAAGCGCAAGACCGCAAGACTCTTATATACCTACTCGGTCTTGGTCTTGCGTAAGTCTTGCAATGCTAAGTCTTGTTCTTCCAGTCTAATAAGTGGTCTTGGTCTTGGTTTTTCTGCAAGACCAAGACCAAGACCAGTCTCGCTCATCACTAGGAAAAAGTTATAATTTGAGCTTGCTGCCGGATGATTTTACACTATTTATTATACAATCTCAAGTAAAGCTGAAGTTTTCCCTAATCTGCATGACTTTTTTGCTTTGACCACAGCGAAATTGAATCGGAAAGTCCCACTTTTCCGATATAATGACGGAGAAGAATATATATCGAGAGAAATTCGTGAATTTTTCCAAGAAAATGGGATTTAATCGAAGTATATAGGATCTGCTACACATCAGGCCCTTGATATTTATATTCACCCCATATTTATATTCACCAAACCAACCAAACTTTGATAACACTGACAAAGACAGAGCAAGCGTTCACGTGAGAATACCCATAACAAAACAATGTTGATGAAAGGATGAACATAACACGTTCACTAAAAAGACAAAATGTTTGCTGTAAAATGTATCAGATTGTAAATTTGGCGAACATAGAAGTCCGAGTGAGTAGAAGTCCAACCAAATGATGGCTGTTCTGAGGGATTACAATATAGCGTCTGTGAAGAGAAGAAAATATATACAGCTCGTACTGTCGAAAAGTCGAAATCCTAATTCCCCGCAATTTCAGGAGGCAGAAAAAGAGATTGATTTGAAGTTGAATTTGTCGACGAGGAAAAGATATTGCCATATAGGTAGAAGAAACGAATCAAAACAAAATCTCAGAGAAACAGAATAAACCCTTGAGGAATTGAAAAACACAGGTACGTACCTACATATAAAAAATAGGCAATTGGGAGAAAACAGCCAAAATATCTTGTAGCCACTGCACTGAGAGCAGGATGAGTTATTGTTTCTTGACAATGTTCCACAGGTGTTTTCTGAAATAAATTAAAGATATGACATCAAAAAATTACTAGAAGCTTTTCAGGAGGAAGTCGATTCTCTCAAATAAAGCCAAGCTGTTCAAAGAACAATTTCTTTCAAACACAAAAGCTGTTGCAACTGCAATGGAACTACATATTAAGCACCAGTTGCTCGATTGATAACAATTATTAGTTTTGCTATTAATTATAAATGGAGAAAATGGAACTCAAGAATCCATTTAACATCAAATTTCCTGTAGGATTTGGTCTTAAATCAAACCGAATTTTCAAGCTACAGATGTCGTTGTATGCACTGAAACAACCTCCAAAGGTTTCGAATGGAAGATTGTATTTCTTTTTGAAAAGTCTGAGAATGACGTAATCACGACATGTGTTTCTATACAAGTCTGTGGGCAAGACAAAAATCCTCTTACTCTTGTACGTTGATGACTTGATTTTGGCAAGCAACGAACTGACAATAATTGAGGAATTCAAAAATATTCTGTGACTGATATGAGCAATTTGAAGAGTTTATTTCAAGTATCAATATTCAGAAAACATCGGAGGGCATATTTTTGAGGCAGAAGTCATATCTGAGAAACTTTTCAAAGCGATTTGATCAAAACAGCGTTGTAATGTGAATACCAAGAAATAGAAACTAAATATAACTCAAATATTATTGAAGCCAAAATAATCCTTACATAGAACATTGGTTGGAAAAACGTTAGGTAAATATTTTCTAATTAAATTTTGTTATTAAGCATATTATATATACATAGAGATAAAATGGATGAATGCAGCGTGGGAAAATTTGCATTGTAAAGTGCACATAAAAAAACTGTAGAGGAATTAGTTGATTTTATAGAATAAATATTGTCTCTTACCTTATTATTATTTAAACTGTTTTGTTTCGGATGCTGAAGTTTAGCTCACTTGAGCCACTTGTCTCAAGCACAATCAAATTTCAATTATGCCATCGTTAAGGAACTGAGAAGGTTATCTTTCGGGCTGATAATAAAATGTTTATTTGCATATTTTCTCCTTGAAGCTATTATTATTTTTTTTTTTAATTTTAAAAGTGATAAGAGGTAATTTACTTTTGTTTTAGTTCGCCGATGACGGCCTAATTTATTGCGTCTGTACTCCCATCAGATTTAATATTCATTGCTAAATTTATCTGTTTTAATAAAAATTTGACTTGAGGAGAATTATTGTCCAACTTGCTTGTTGTGCCGGCATAGAAGGCTTCATAGATCTTAACTTAATTAGATTTTGGATAAAATTGGCAAAACTACATGTATGGGAAGAGTTACCTTTTCTGTGCTATGCAAAGGCCAACGTTTTATTTATCATCTGAGGAGTTAGCCTTCAAGGTAACCTTCAGCGATATAATAATTGAGATTTTAAAAAAATGAACCATAAAAATTCTTTTTTGGATTTTTTGATCCAATTTTACTATAATTGGCTAATCTCAATGGACTATCAAATTGGACGTTTATGTGGTACTTTTACTATATTTAGATAACATCTTTTTGTGGAGGTGGGTATTAGAAACAAATAGTTATGTTAATTAAATATTATTATAAAAAGGTTTGAAATAATTTAGGTGCCTCTACTTTTATGGGAGAAGTATTTTTTAATTGGATAAAATCTTAGAACTAATCTATCCCAATATATTCACTACTAGATCGTCTTGTATCTGCACAGTCTCCATATGATGCATCACTCTAAACATGAATTTCAGGATGTTTTGTGAAGTTGTAGGTTACTATTACCTATGAAACCTCTAAGGTATTCAAGATCTGTCGAAGCATTTGAGTTTCTGTCGGGTCAATTTGAAACTGTGATGACTTGTGCCCTGCATAGGCTATGTCAGGTCTTAGTCATGACAAGAAATAGAAGGCTTTCGATAGTACCAATCTGTGACTGATATAGCTCTTTGTCTGCTCTTTTGTCTTTCTCTCTTGTCTTTAGATCTTTTAGTACCATAAGAAGCCGTCTTACAGTTAATCATGTCATATTTTAGCAAAACTTTTTTAAAGTATCTTGCTTGATTTAAGGACACAGATGAAGGATTTCATGAAATTTGCAGCGACAACAAAAATTCTGATTCATCATCTAGGTAAGTGACTTCAAAATTCTTGGATAAAATATCTTCCACTTTAAGAGAAAATCTTAAATAAATTATTCAGATCCATGTATGCATGTGCCATCGTCTTCCAATAATGAAAATTGCATTTTCTATGAAGCTTCTCAAACTTGGGAAATTTATCCGGTTCCTGAATTTTTCTTTAATACATTGTTGTTTTACTTGCCGTTCTTAAAACCAGCGTACAATGGACGCATAGCCTTTTATTATTCGTACTTCCGAGAGAAAAACTTTGTGACAAGTTTTCACAATAGGCGAGTTCGGAAATGACATCGCAGATGCGACAGATTTTTTTTACACGTGATTTCACATGCATTTTTATGATTTAGGGCCATTTTCATAATATCTGTGGAAAAATAATGTATAGGGTTTAACAAAAATCAGATATAAAATAGTCCAAGAACAATCATATTTCAATAAATGGAACTTGTTGATAAGCGCAAATCTTGCATTGAATCCTTATTGCAATGGTAATCTTTCTCAGTTTTGCCTAGTATACATAAACCATTCAACCATCTTGTGACAGAAACATACATGGATTCTTTCAGGGCTATTTCTTTCAAAACACTGACCAATTTTTGATTCCATAATCTTGGAGACAGTTCCAAATCGTATATACTTTTCTTCAAATAACAAACTCTCTCTGACTCAACGTCTACACCTTCTGGGAATTTCATGTAAATTTCAACATCTAAAACACCATTGAGAAATGCTGTTTTGTTGTCCAGTTGTTCAGCATTCATATCATCATGTACACAGTGTTTCAGCGAAATTCTTGTTGTCTCATATCTTACAGCTGGAGAGAAGGTTTCCTCAAAATCAATGCCTGGAATCTATGTAAAACCTTCAGTCACTAATCTAGCTTTGAATTTTAACTTAACTTCTCCATTTTCTGAAAAAAAAATTCTCAAAAATACATTTGCATCCAACAGCTCCACAGTTCGGAGGTTCTTCTAATATCTCCCAAACTTTATTATTTTCCATGGGCTCTGATTGCCAAAATCCATTTGTCTGAATCAACACAGGAGAAAGCTTCTTTATAAGACCTCGGTTCATCACTTGCTAAGCATAGAAACTCATATGATCATGTTTTGGTGGTTTTCTTGATCTATGACTTCTTTTCAACTGAAAATGTTTTGAAAAAACAGTATTTTCCTCAATGACTATACTAAATACTGTTTCTTTATTTTGAGCATTTTTATGCATTTGATTAATTTCATTTTCGTCATTCTTTTCTATTTTATTTGGTCCAATATCTCCTGTTTCGTTTCCTCCATTTTAATTTTGATCTTTTTGTTCATATTTGGTGTTTTTTTATGGAACAAATGTGGTAGCCTAGTTTACGTGTAGACTGAATGTGATACTGCTTCAACCCAAAGTGAATACGGGAGATGTGCATCAATGAATTACCTTCTGGTCATAGTAGTGATGGTTCTGTTTGATCTATCGGCCGTTCTATTTGTTCCATGAACCAGCTCCAACTGACTTAAATAAGATTTCCAGTGAATTTGACACATATCCTCCACCATTGTCACTTTTGAAGGTACCAATGTGGTACCAATTTTCATTCCAGTCTGGCTGAATATACTCTCGGATGTTCTCGTCATCTCGGATTTTATGCGTGCTTCACAGTCTATAGCAGGTCTCTCTCTTGGTAGAATATGGGTTTCAGCAACTAACGTCTAAATTTCGTTGAAAATACTTACTGGTGCATGTCCCAATCTTCTATGCCATTTATGGCCGTTTCCACCAACTAATTTAGGGGAGCCTTAACGATAAGTTTTAATATGGAGAAATGTCAGTTTAGAGAATACTTATCGACGATAAGTATTCTCTAAACTGACATTTCTCCATATTAAAATGTCATTTTAAGGAATACTTATCGTTAAAGGTCCCCTAAAATAGTTGGTGGAAATGGCCATTAACAACGCTCACATTTAGATTTTTCTTTTCTTCTGTAGCCATCACATAGTCCTTATTTTCTTGGAAAATGTGTAGTTTTTCAGCTGATAGTACTCATCCTACTACTTTATCATCCTTCGTGAATATAATTTAATTTTTATCTCCTTGCAATTTTATACCTTTTTCTCTGATTTTTTGTCATGACATTGGAACATTTTTAATCGGGCACATAAAGAACATTATACAAGATAACTTTAATATACTTTCTTGATGGCAGTAAAGCATTGAAACTTACTTCTCCAATATGAGTTACATTCATGACATCATCGTTTCCCAATCGAATTTGACGTGAATATTGATTTGAAAATAGCTTTTCCTACGAGCGTGCGCAAAGTAGTACTTTTCCGCACGCATTTCCGGGCTCAAAGTTACACTTTTCCGCACTCAGTGCGGATACAGGCCTTATCCGCACTGAGTGCCGAAAAGTAATTATAATTGTCAAGCAACAATAAGTGCACCTGTCGACTTTGACACATGATGACAAATTTTTCCTCTATTTCTATATCAGCCAACATCTATACAAACACCAATTATAAATTAACTTTGACACATCAGATTTGTTCTCTATTTATATGCAAAAATCTACAAACTTTCTCATCAAATTTAAACGCTTTAAGATGAACAGCTCTGACGAGGATTTTCTGTTATTTTTTTTTGTTATGTAATTTTTTGATAAATGCATAGGTTCCCTTCAAGTTAATTAAAAATAATTAAACAAATTATCGGTTTTTTTTTCAAATTTTTGTTATTACCTACCTGATCTGAAGCTCGTAGGAAAAATTTTGTTCCTAACACGTGCGCAAAGTGTCTTTTCCGCACGCAAACACGTATCCGAACTCCGCTTCGCGTCGTTCGTATAACTGTGTTTGCGTGCGGAAAAGTAACACTTTGCGCACTTGTTAGGAAAATAACTATTTCCTACGAGCGTGCGGGAAATGGCTCTTCCCGCACGATTTGCTGTGCGGGAAGACTTTTTTCCCGCACCGGTGCGGGAAGAGTTTGAAATAATGATTATGACATGGAATTGTTTGTATTGTTGATACACCTATACCTGTACCTGTACCTTTACCTTTTTATAAATACCTTTCAATACATTTTTAATTCTACCTTCTGCATAATCGCATTTTATTTAAATTAAACTCTTCGTAACATCAGCTTTAGTATGCTCGTAGAAAAAATATAGTTCCTAACTCTTGCGGGAAGAAATTTACGGCACTCGGGCGCTTCGGACCCTCGTGCTGGAAATTTCTCTTCTCGCACTCGTTAGGAAAATAGCTATTGTCCCCTGACATGTGCGAAGGTGCACCGGTGTCAAATATTCATATTATTCATAAGGGATAATTCTAATAATCTGGCACACGTAGGTATGTTAAGTTGTCTTGGTTTTGAATTATCTTTAATAAATCTATCTCGCTAGATAATAACAAAAAATTATCCTTTGGCTCTTGTTGATGCTGCTAGAGAATGTAGAGCTGGCTTTTAAAATCTGAGGTTCTTTCTACCAATCTACCACACAGTTCGTTATATCTGGCAATATGCAAATGTGCAAAGACTACTCACATTTTTTGTCAAATATATCAATTAGGGATTTTCACATACTTGCTACATCTTAGAAACAAGTTATTTGAGGTACAAACTCTGAATCTACGTTAAACAAAATGCATGTTCTTATAGGATAATGTCTGTAGCCCCAATATTCACGCTTCTCCTTGTATTCTTTCAATTTTGCAGCATCTTCAGAATGTCCTTCTTTTTCAGGATTAGTTTCCTCACCTGAGAAAATCTTAAATAAATTATTCAGATCCATGTATGCATGTGCCATCGTCTTCCAATAATGAAAATTGCATTTTCTATGAAGCTTCTCAAACTTGGGAAATTTGTCCGGTTCCTGAATTTTTCTTAAATACATTGTTGTTTTACTTGCCGTTCTTAAAACCAGAGTCAGCGTACAATGGACGCATAGCCTTTTATTATTCGTACTTCCGAGAGAAAAACTTTGTGACAAGTTTTACAATAGGCGAGTTCGGAAATGATATCGCAGATGCGACAGATTTTTTTTACACGTGATTTCACATGCATTTTTATGATTTAGGGCCATTTCCATAATAACTGTTCAAAAATAATGTATATAGGGTTTAACAAAAATAAAATATAAAATAGTCCAAGTCAAGTAGCTTCATATTAATCATATTTAAACAGGGCCGCAACTAGAAGCCTCGGCGCCCAAGGCCAATCCAAATTTTGGCCCCTACTACTAATTCTACCACTGTATAAAAATACAGAATGATCAATATTTTATCATCTCTAGTTTTTAACGTAGAAAATCTTTCACGAGAGCCGGTAATAGAAAACAATTTTACCCACTGTAATTTGACTCAACAAAAATAAGCCACTGCATAAAGATATAGAGTGATCAATATTTTATTTATTCCTGGCTCTTGTAGGAAATCTTTCACGAAAGCTGATGATCGAAAACAATTCCACCACTGTGTAAAGATATGGGGTGATCAATTTTTCTATTATCTCTGGTTCTTAATGTAGAAAATCTTTCACGAGAGTCGCGGTAATAGGAAACAATTTTACCCTCTATTTGACTCAACAAATATAAGCCATTGTATAAAGATATAGAGCGATAAATATTTTATTATTCCTGGCTCTTGTAGGAAATCTTTCACGGAAGCTGGTAATCGGAAACAATTCCACTATACTGTGTGAAGATACGGGGTGATCAATATTTTATTATCCCTGGCTTTTAATGTAGAGAATCTTTCACGAGAGTCGGTAATAGAAAACAATTTTACCCACTGTAATTTGACTCAATAAAAATAAGCCACTGTATAAAGATACAAAGTAATCGATATTTTTTTATTCCCGGCTTTTGTAGGAAATCTTTCACGGAAGCTGGTGGAATTGTTTCCGACCAATTCCACCACTGTGTAAAGATACGGGGTGATCAATATTTTATTATCCTTGGCTTTTAATATAGAGAATTTTTCACGAGAGCCGGTAATAGAAAACTATTTTACCCACTGTAATTTGACTCAAGTATAAAGATACAAAGTAATCAATATTTTTTTTATTCCCGGCTTTTGTAGAAAATTTTTCACGGAAGCTGGTGGAATTGTTTCCGATCAATTCCACCACTGTGTAAAGATACGGGGTGATCAATATTTTATTATCCTTGGCTTTTAATGTAGAGAATCTTTCACGAGAGCCGGTAATAGAAAACAATTTTACCCACTGTAATTTGACTCAAGTATAATGATACAAAGTAATCAATATTTTTTTATTCCCGGCTTTTGTAGGAAATCTTTCACGGAAGCCGGTGGAATTGTTTCCGATCAATTCCACCACTGTGTAAAGATACGGAGTAATCAATATTTTATTATCCTTGGCTTTTAATGTAGAGAATCTTTCACGAGAGCCGGTAATAGAAAATAATTTTACCCACTGTAATTTGACTCAACAAAAATAAGCCACTGCATAAAGATATAGAGTGATCAATATTTTATTTATTCCTGGCTCTTGTAGGAAATCTTTCACGAAAGCTGGTGATCGAAAACAATTCCACCACTGTGTAAAGATATGGGGTGATCAATTTTTCTATTATCTCTGGTTCTTAATGTAGAAAATCTTTCACGAGACTCGCAGTAATAGGAAACAATTTTACCCTCTATTTGACTCAACAAATATAAGCCATTGTATAAAGATATAGAGCGATAAATATTTTATTATTCCTGGCTCTTGTAGGAAATCTTTCACGGAAGCTGGTAATCGGAAACAATTCCACTATACTGTGTGAAGATACGGGGTGATCAATATTTTATTATCCCTGGCTTTTAATGTAGAGAATCTTTCACGAGAGTCGGTAATAGAAAACAATTTTACCCACTGTAATTTGACTCAATAAAAATAAGCCACTGTATAAAGATACAAAGTAATCGATATTTTTTTATTCCCGGCTTTTGTAGGAAATCTTTCACGGAAGCTGGTGGAATTGTTTCCGACCAATTCCACCACTGTGTAAAGATACGGGGTGATCAATATTTTATTATCCTTGGCTTTTAATATAGAGAATCTTTCACGAGAGCCGGTAATAGAAAACTATTTTACCCACTGTAATTTGACTCAAGTATAAAGATACAAAGTAATCAATATTTTTTTTATTCCCGGCTTTTGTAGGAAATCTTTCACGGAAGCTGGTGGAATTGTTTCCGATCAATTCCACCCCTGTGTGAAGATACGGGGTGATCAATATTTTATTATCCTTGGCTTTTAATGTAGAGAATCTTTCACGAGAGCCGGTAATAGAAAACAATTTTACCCACTGTAATTTGACTCAAGTATAAAGATACAAAGTAATCAATATTTTTTTATTCCCGGCTTTTGTAGGAAATCTTTCACGGAAGCCGGTGGAATTGTTTCCGATCAATTCCACCACTGTGTAAAGATACGGAGTAATCAATATTTTATTATCCTTGGCTTTTAATGTAGAGAATCTTTCACGAGAGCCGGTAATAGAAAACAATTTTACCCACTGTAATTTGACTCAACAAAAATAAGCCACTGCATAAAGATATAGAGTGATCAATATTTTATTTATTCCTGGCTCTTGTAGGAAATCTTTCACGAAAGCTGGTGATCGAAAACAATTCCACCACTGTGTAAAGATATGGGGTGATCAATTTTTCTATTATCCCTGGTTCTTAATGTAGAAAATCTTTCACGAGAGTCGCGGTAATAGGAAACAATTTTACTCTCTATTTGACTTTTAATGTAGAGAATCTTTCACGAGAGCCGGTAATAGAAAACAATTTTACCCACTGTAATTTGACTCAATAAAAATAAGCCACTGTATAAAGATACAAAGTAATCAATATTTTTTTATTCCCAAATCCTTCACGGAAGCTGGTAATCGGAAACAATTCCACTACTGTGTAAAGATACGAGGTGATCAATATTTTATTATCCTTGACTTTTAATGTAGAGATTCTTTCACGAGAGCCGGTAATAGAAAACAATTTTACCCACTGTAATTTGACTCAATAAAAATAAGCCACTGTATAATAGTAGATTATACCACGAGTCAATAATGATAGCTATTATTCCCGAGGATTATTACGAACTGAGCCGCGTTAGCGGCGAGGGAGTAACATTCCGAGGGAATAATTGCCATTATTGCGAGTAGTATACTCTACTTTATTTACGACAAATTAATTTATTTGAGATTTTCAATGAACAAATTTCATCCGTCTCATAATTTTCAATACAAATCCACAAGCACTACACGTTTGACACTGACACTTTTGTGGAATAATGACCATTAATCCCGCTACTCGTCATTAATCCCTGGAGGAATAACATATGTCATTATACTGCCAAAATCACAAATATAATACGCACATTATACATTAGTCGTAAATAAAGATACAAAGTAATCAATATTTTTTTATTCCCGGCTTTTGTAGGAAATCCTTCACGGAAGCTGGTAATCGGAAACAATTCCACGACTGTGTAAAGATACGGGGTGATCTATTTTTTATTATCCTTGGCTTTTAATGTAGAGAATCTTTCACGAGAGCCGGTAATAGAAAACAATTTCACCCACTGTAATTTGACTCATTGAAAATAAGCCACTGTATAAAAATACAAAGTACCTGATCAATATTTTTTTATTCCCGGCTTTTGTAGGAAACCCTTCACGGAAGCTGTTAATCGGAAACAATTCCACCACTGTGTAAAAATACGGGGTGATCAATATTTAATTATCCCTGGCTCTTAATGTAGAAAATCTTTCACGAGAGCCGGTAGTAGAAAACAATTTTATCCACTGTAATTTGACTCAACAAAAATGAGCCACTGTATAAAGATACAGAGTGATCAAAATTTTCTTATTCCCGGTTCTTGTAGGAAGTTTTCTACGAAAGCTAGTGATCGAAAACAATTCCACCACTGTGTTAAGATACGGCGTGATGAATATTCTATTATCCCCAGCTCTAAAAGGGAGTGTGAAACAAAAATGAAAGTTATGGAAAAAAAAACTAAGAACAAATTTTCAAACTACACTAAGCTACGACCAACCGTTGCGAAGATACCGTGGTATAAAGTTTCTACTCCTAACACTGTGACGTCACATGCACAAATTGAGTCCGCCTTGCAGGGCTGTGCGCGCGTTTGCTCATGCTTGCTGTATATATTATCGATATTATCTTATTGCTTTTGCGTCCTCACCCCTATCGTTACATCAGATTAATTAGGTTTAGTAATTTTTGTGTGTATTCATGACGTTACGCGATGAATAAACAAAACTTTATTTAGGCGTATCTACCTTATCATTTTGCGTAGCGATGCGAGATTTCCACGAGAGTTAGAGTCCTTAGAATTTTTTTCTATATTATCTGAAAACAAGTTGTATTTTAAGGTTACACCCCCTTTAATGTAGAAAATCTTTCACGAGAGCCTGTAATAGAAAACAATTTTACTCACTGTAATTTGATCATTTCAGGTTGTACATTAATTTTATTTGACGGCGAGAAGGCGCCTCGGTACTTTGGCGCCTTGGGCTCGCGCCTAGTTCGCCACCCCCCTACTTGCGGCTCTGTATTTGAATAAATGGAACTTGTTAATAAGTGCAAATCTTGCAGTGAATACTTATTATAATCATAATCAGGTATATAACCAGCTTATATAACCAAGGGATTCGAATTGTGACCTTTACTTTTTCAACAAAATATACTTTTTATCACTGATGGACAGTATATCTACCCATTTTTAAGTTGCAAACTTCACATAGGTAAAAATATTAGTAGGTATCGCCATTCAACAATTATTCAACTGCGTGCAATTACCATCAAGTGACATCTTCCCATCATTAATTTTGTCACGAAATGCCCCATTGTCCCTAGACCAATTTAATTATTGTTGATTGTATTGCAGGAACCATGCTCATGCTATCATTAAAAGTCAGGTAATAATACGGTATTACAATTTTGACGAAAACACGATGTTTCAGTCGAACATAAATACTGGGTGCATGGAAAAAACGCATACTGTTTCCAAGATGTTTCTGGCATATTCAGATATGATCTTATTGCTCTTTATTTCTGGAGTTAGTAATTAAAAAATCTTAACCTAATTGACTTCCTAAAGGTTGAAGATTGACAACAATAACAACTACATAACACAACCTGAATTCCTACTGATAGAAACTATAAATTAAATGCCCGAGAAAAATAATTATTGCTGCACTTTGCCCCCAACATCAAAGCATATCAATCTTCTAATCTCTCAAAATTCATTATTGTTATGCCGACTCACTAAAATTTCAGTACAGTAAAGTCATAGTCCATCGTCAAAATAACTGAAATTAATAATAAATTACAGTCTTTATTGGTTTAACAACACAAGATTTCCAATTTGTGACGTAATTCATGGTCAAACTGCGAGATTGGTTAATAGCTGGTGTTGGAGAGTTAAAATAAATTTTAGTTAGCCAAACTACTTTGACTATCTATTATTGGCACTCGAAGTAGGTCCTCTGAAAAAATATAAAACGAGTGTTAAAAAATAAAGTATATAGTGTAACAGTGATAATATTAAAAAATGACTTCTCCTGAAAAAAACAATCTTCATCATTTGAAAGTAATTTTGAAATCACTCTCTAAACATCAAGCTCTAGTGTTAAATGAAAATGTTGAATCAACCAGTGACTACAGTGTCAATACTATTGCAAAATTGGACTCACCGATAATAACAAATCTTCAACAGCAATTTTCAAGCAACCAGCAACTTTTACTGAAAAGCATTTGGACTCCGAATAGTGTTAAAATAGTTAACAATTCATGTGTTTTCGCCAAAAATCCCACCACGAAAATCTTACCGCCAGCCTTTGATGGCCTAATGTTTATATTTGCTTTGAGTGACAACAAATTCAGACAAAAACATTTTGAGCATTTAGTGCAGTATTATTTTGATTGTTTGAAGGATGATTTAGAAAATAAAAAAATTGTAAGTAAATTTTTTTCAGAAACTCAAGTGAGAATTTTGCTTCCCATAGTCAAATTTGAATTATTAGCAATTGAAACTAATAATAAGCAATTAGCGACCAATATTGATTATTATTTGAAATACCCATTATTAAATCAGGAAGATATTTATGTGGTAATTAAAAACTACTTAGGGACTACCGATTATGATTTGAATGATTATCAACTGATAGAGTTAAAAGAAACTAATGGGCACTTGGGAGAATATTATCATTTAAGAATCAAAATAACTCACAATAGACAACCAAAAGAAATTGAATTATTTGCCAAGTTTTTGATAATTAAAGCAGAAATATTGCGTAAAGTGTTGGAAAATGGTCCAGGAAAACGTGAAGACTTTTTCTATAACACATTATATCCTTTATATATTGAACATGGACTTCAAGATATTCTAGATTTTGCTCCTAAATGCTATTTGAGTCGGATAAGTTGGCTTATAGTACTTGATGATCTTACTAAAACAGATTTCATAAGCTTTAAACCCAATGTGTTGTTGGATTTCAATGGATTAAGTTGCTTAGTAGAAAAATTAGCCAAATTCCATTCGACTACATTAATACTAGAAGAAATTTTAACCAAAAAATCTGGCAAAACTTTTAGACTCGATGATTTATATGATGAATATTTTGATGACGTTTTGCTAAGTTATAATAGCAATAATCCAACATGTGCTTTGTATGATAAAAACCTTGAACGTCTCTATTATGTGGCTGAAAAATTCCCAGAAATTATCTCTAGCTTGAAATTATCATCTGAAGACTTAAATAAGGCTTTAAAGGATATTTATTGGAATTTATTCTGCCAATTGAAACCTGAGAATTGCAAATTAAGGAGCATTGTGAATCACGGAGACACTTACATATCAAATTTTTTATTCAAATACGATAATAACGATAAAAATATTATAAAAGAAGCTATTTTAATAGATTTTCAATTATTACGCTACATGCCCCCAGGATATGAATTATTATTTGCCCTCATATCAAGTTCCTCCAAAACCACAAGAGATAAATATTTACAAAGATTAATTGAAGAATACTACAACAATATTTCAAAATACCTGAAACACTTCAACATTGACCCAGAAGAAGTTTTTCCTGAAAAGTTATTCATGGAAAACATCAAAAAAGCTTATCCGGCAGCTCTGACGCAATCCTTCAACTATGGCCTCTTTATTCATATTGATCCAGATTTTCGAGAAGAAATCATGCACGACCAATATAAACTGAAGTACTATTTGGAAGATCATAAAAGTGCAATAATTGATAAGTTTTGGAATGATGATCATTATAGAAGCGTTTTGAAGGGTTTTATTGAGGATTTTGTTGAGCTTATTAGAAAAGGATGTTGAAAGAATTTGAATTATTATTTGCCTTCTTATAAATAAATTAATTATAATTTTTGTGTTTGATTATACCATGACCATAAGATTTGAAACAATAATAAATTCTACTTGTTTTTTATTAGATATCAATAATTGAATTTTATTTATGTTCGAATTTGTAGAATCGATGAAGTTGGGTTGGGTGGAAGAATTTTTCCTCAGTTTTACTAAAAGCTAGGTATTTGATAATTGAAAGTTGAAGTTTCACCTAAAATTAAGGTTTCTCGCTAGTAGAAAACGCATTCTGGATAGATTAGATTGGCCAAGAAATGAAGGTTTCAAGATTGTGGTAAGTCTTCAATGTAGACATTCTGTATGTCCGTTATTGTTAAATCAATATAATTTGCATTTTGATAGGTTTAACAAACCTAATCCAAAGTAAATTATTTAATTTTTATAAAGAATCATTGATTGATAATTCTTCAGGATTGTATTGTAATTTATCGAAAAATATTAACTCTAGATCAATAAATTAATGCTAATTTTATTTTAATACAATAACATGTTTTATAGTAATTATTACCTATTTATACACAAATATTGCACATATAGAGCTTGCTTAGGTACATATTTAATAACACCGATTAGATAATATGTCCTAGAAATGTGAAATGCTTTTGTTGAAAAATCATCAAAAAGACAACAGCTAGATAATTCGGGGTTTTATTGGAAGAGTCCAGTGAGGCCTTATTGTTATATGTACGAATGACACGTACATCCTTCTCTTATCCTAGAGATATAAAAACATTTTTGTTATTTCGTAAAATAATTGTCTCTTGTCATCTTCACTATTTTTTTTTAGTAAATAGTATAGTACCTTACTAAAACAAATTACATTACATCCTCCTTTTATCCCAAAAATATAATAAACATTTCCTATTATATTTCACCTTGTGGAAATAATATTAATTGTTGCTTTATCATCTTGCAGCAGTGAAAGTCATTGTATTTTATCTGTGTTTGTAACCTAAGTAAATGCCTATTTAAAAAAAAATTATATTTACATTTATACTACAATGATTATGCTGAATTTATTGAAAGGAAATATTAAGTTGAATATTGTCACAACCCCTATACGTTTCGTCCTGGGACGTCACAACAGGAGCGTGACTTGGGGGCGTAGATGGGGTTCAGGTAGAGAGAAACTCGCTAGGTATAGGTATAATAAGATGTACACTGTGGGCCAAATTAAGTTGGAACATAATTTGACCATCAATAACTTTTTCGTCTGTTTATGGATTTTAATGATTTTTGGATATGATATAAGTCAATATGTTTTTGTTGTCACCTTAAAATTAATTAGACTAATTCTGGTTAGGACCGGACTTACGACGATTTCATTAAATCGGTGCATTTAAGTCCGTTGCAAAAACGAACTGCGCTACTTACAAACCAATTTTGTTTTTCTTTATAAGTTCATTTATGGGAAAACAAATCCTGAAAATATCGATATTTTAGAACCAAAACCTGAGAAACTTTAATTTTTTTAACCAACATCTCAAATAGGAAATTTTATACTTTAATCCAGATTGCTTTGGATTAACCAATTGTCAAAAAATCTCCATTTCTGTTGTTTTGGTTATAAAATATTGTTGATTTCAGGACTGGTTTTCCCATTAATGTTCTTATTAAAAAAACATATTTGTTGGTTTGAAAGTAACGTAATTCGTTTTTGCAACGAGCTTAAATGCACTGATTTATTGAAATCGTCGTTAGTCCGGTCCTAAGCAGAATTGGTCTAGTTAATTTTAAGGTGATAACAAAAACATATTGACTAATATCATATCCAAAAATCATTGAAATCCATAAACAGACAAAAAAATTATTAATGGTCAAATTATGTTCCAACTTAAATTGGCCCACAGTGTATATTGATTAATAATAGTTATTACCCTAGAAATGGTATCATGACGTCTCTCCTACGGAGGGACGTACTACTTAAGGGTCACTCTGTATTAATTATGTACCCTCTGTACACTTGGCGTGACTGAAGACTGAAACTAGGTTTGAGACAGGTCCAGAAGGGCGTTTCCCATTAAATGTAGTTTGCACTGGACCTAGTCTGCTGCGTTCAATACTCCCAGAGGGGCGTTTCCCATTAAAGGTAGTTTGCACTGGGAGGAAACTTAACTAGAAGGGCTTTTCCCATTAGAGGTAGTTCGCACTAGCCTTAGTCTGCCGGTAATGGATTTCGGCGCTGCATTTATTCCAAATAAATGCTGACTCGTCGACACTCTTTAGTAAATTTGATGTACAGAGTGGTATTTACTTAAGTAGTTGACATATGCCCCCCTTCTGAAGAGCATTGGCCTCCAATGCTTGTAGAAGAGACATCAAAAATAAAAAATTTACAAAATACCTAATAGAATTACAATACAATATAAACAATAAGATACAATACAATGCAATAGTGAAATACAATATAAAATACAATACAACCAATAAATACGATACAATACAATACAACATAATACAAAAATAGCGAAAAGGAAGAGGCGATGCAATTACTAAAAATGGATATAAACTGTGGTGCGCCAGAGGAGATCCCGTCACGGATTGGGTTTTGCCGTCTAACCAGATGCGTCTTCTCAGTAAAGACAGTAAATAGTCCAGGTAGGTACCATAACGTTTATGCTTCCTTGGGGTTCGTTTTTGGTTGGCCAAATTTTTCATAGTGTTCTGGTTCCTTGCTTCTAATGGTACTCGTAGATCTTTGGATCAGAGATGCTCCTGCTCAATCCGAAGCAATCCCTGATCCAGGTTGTAGTGGCGTCATGGGTTTCTTGGCCTCGTTTGTCCTCTGGACAGATAATGCGATTTCGTTCGTATGAAACAAAAATTATGTGTGTTAAAAATTAAATTACTAAAAATGGAATAAAATAATTGCCCTTTTGCTTTTCCTCCTTGATTTTAAATTAGTTATCTTCCAGTGCTTAGTTAGACTTCTTAATTCCTTGTCTACAGCCGATGCTATTCCTTCCATATATGTTAAAATCTTACATTCTACTTTCTCTGATTCTTAACACTTCTTGCCTCCCAGTATTGTTGGTTCCAAAGGCTCTTCAAGTCAGGATACTCTGTATGGTAATGGGATTGACCCTTCGCATAAAATTGTATCTGATAGAAGTTTCCAGATTGCGCCGGCGGATACTTCTACCTCCTGGCTTGTGGCGCTATGAGTCATTATCACCAAAAATCTGTTAGGACGAGAGTTTGATAAATCCTGTTTAAATTTATTTAATACTAAGCTTTGTTTCTCTCAGTCCTAAACTCTATTTTATAATATACATGTGGCCACTACTGCTAATTTTCTTCCTCTTCTGTTACTTCTTCTCTTCGTCTTCTTCTACTTCGTCGTTTTCTTCTTCGTCTTCCTCTACTTCGTCTTCTTCTTCTTCATCTTCTTCTTCTTCATCTTCTTCATCTCTTACTTCTTCATCTTCGTCTTCTTCATCTTCACTATACTCTTCGATAGGTGCACCTTTTGTCCACGGGTCATTGTAGGGCAGCATCCTACTGACGTGGACCGCATCTTTATTCTTCTTTCTACTACCGATTTTTTCTACTTCCTTCCTAATTTACTTCTCCAAGTTTTCTAAGTACTTTATATGGTCCAAACCATCTTAAAAGTAACTTTTCCTTAACACTCCTTCCAACCTTTCTGATTGGGATAAACACTTTAACTTTGTCTCCAGCTTCAAAGTCCAATTCTCTATGTCTTTCATCAAAACGCCCTTTATCTTTCCCTTGTCTTTTCTGTATATTTTCCACTTATATAGATCGTATTAAGAGTGCCTTTTCCCTGATTTGTAGTACGTCCGTTCCATTTTCAGCATCCAATAGCACTGCTTCTGCAGGTAGTGTGGGTTCCCTTGCGTACGTTAACATAAATGGGCTAAAACGAGTCGTATCTTGCATTGCTGTATTATAAGCAAATGTAATAAATGGTAAATAGCTACACCAGTTTGTTTGCTGTGTGTTACAATACATTGACATCATGTCAGCTATTGTCTTATTTAGCCTTTCTGTTAATCCGTTACAGCATGGATGATATGCTGTCGTAAACTGGCTTCTTACTCCGATTAAACTTCCTAATTCCCTAACTAACTCTGATTGGAAGACTTTTCCCCTATCGCTAAGCAGATTTCTTGGTATTCCATGTATCAAAAATACTTTTTCTAATAAAAATTTTGGGACTGGTCCTGCTTTTCCATTTGGCAAGGCGGCTGTGATGGCATATCTTGAGGCGTAATCGGTAACTACTACTATCATTGTTTTTCCCTTATTACTTCTTCTAAATGGACACAATAGGCCAATCTTGTCGAAAATCGTTCCTACTTGTATTGATTGTAATATAACCCTGGTGTTTTTCTATAAGGTTGCCCCTTCCTTGCCTGGCAATCTGGACATCCTTTCAAGTATTTTTCTATATCCTTGAGCATTCCATCCCAATAAAATCTGCTAGTGAATTTCTCTGTAGTTTTGCTGAGCCCTAGAATGTCCGCTTGTTGGTGATGCATGTAGTTCCCATAGAATTTCTTTTCTCATTGTTTGTGGCACTACCAATACTTTTTCTAATCCCTTCTGTGTTTTATTCACTTTGTATAATAGGCCTCCTTCGATCCTGAAATTTTTTGCTCTTCGTCTGGTACCAATATCAATTTCTGGATCGTCTGGACTTCCTACAGCTTTAAGGAGTTGCTTCAAGCTTGCAGGGGCGGCTTCTCAATAAGTGCGCTCGTGCGCGCGCACTGCCTCCAAAAACCAAGCAAGAAAATAAAATTAAAATTTTGGAAAGAAAAGAAACTTCAATTAAAAAATACCTACCCAATTTTCTAAATTAGGATAAATATCTACTCATTTTTCTATTTTTAAATTCGCACGAACGGAACGAAAGCGCGCCCTGCGCCTGTCTTGTATATTTTTTTCTCCCGCTTGGTTGTGCTGGTGGTCCGGGTGGTCGGTGTGGAATCGTTCGGCGCTCAGGGTAAATGTGTTTTCTCGCTGTGCGATTGATCGGGAATATACGGTAAGTCGCCCGATGAAAGGGATGCGCCGTGCGCTATTTGAATACACACTTCCAATGTTGTTTCCACTCAATCGAGAATATTTCGATGTTTTTTCACCATTTTGGCGGTTTGACAACTCTGTTGTTCGCGGTTTTTTTTTTAATTATAAATTTCAATATTAATTATGTATTATGGCTAGAATACAAACATTCAAGCCTTATTTAAATACATATATTTTTGTTTTCGATAATTTTTCCTAAAGTAAAAAGAAAAAAAATCAACATACAAAATAAATGTAAAACAGGACGTGGCACCTCCAAAAAATTTTCCAAGAGCGCACAACCACACTAGGTTGCCACTGGCCGCCACTGCAAGCTTGGGTCTGTTTTTTGTAACGTGGACATTTTCGATGTTTGTAGTGCAATTGTGGGGAGTTCTTCTTGGTCTTCTTGTTCATGCGCTTCTGGCGGCAGTACCGGGTTGCGAGCAGGGGCGGCTTCTCAATAAGTGCGCTCGTGCGCGCGCACTGCCTCCAAAAACCAAGCAAGAAAATAAAATTAAAATTTTGGAAAGAAAAGAAACTTCAATTAAAAAATACCTACCCAATTTTCTAAATTAGGATAAATATCTACTCATTTTTCTATTTTTAAATTCGCACGAACGGAACCAAAGCGCGC